GTTAATTATCACCCCACTACTTGACATGTTGACATTAGCTGACTAATTATTGTTAACAAACAAACCTATCAGTGCCACTACCTGATTGGTAAATTGTTATGTTATAATAAAGGTTTGTGTATTTCCCAATGAATGAAAAACAAAACAATACTTGCATTTTAATAGCTTTTGTCCAAATAGCTTTAAACGTGGTCTAGTCAAGACTCTGTACTATATAGCGAGGAGAATATGCTCCATAGAGAAACTAGAGGAGGAGTTTGAGTTCCTTGAAAAGATATTGAAGAGCAACGGGTACCCACGAAGGTTCATCAACAAGTATGGAAGATCTGAAGTCACGAATGTAATGCAAATCACAGTGGAATAAAGTCAGTCTACGTTCAGCTTGATTATAAAGGTGAAAATATTGCAGCGATAATCAACAGAAGGCTGAGTACATCACTAGGCATAGCCTATCTATCGAACAACTTGCTCTTTGGTGCAATCAAACATCGATAGATATCCTTCTCATGTTACCTTCAACTGTGTATACATATTTACATGTATCTGCGGGAGCAGTTACATTGGAAGGACAGCGAGCAGAAGGGCATATCTACGATTTTCTGAACATGTACCAAAAAGCCTACGTCTCCAGCGGGGAACAAATGCTTTAAACAGTGCCATCCATCGCCAGGCATCTTCTCAACACGGGCCATGAGGTGGACGTCGAAAAGTCGTTCAAAATTATCAATTCTCCTTAAGTTTGTTGAAGCCATTTCTGTCAAGCGCCTGAAACCTGATTTATGCGTCCAGAAGAAAGAAGCGGTTATCAGTCTTTCTTTGCCCTGCCTGCTAACTGGATAATTTCACCTCTCTTTCTTCCGAATGTGAAATGCTAAAAGTTTCCATTGTGTATGATTATTATTGTTGTTCGGAATAGTGTTTAATATTGCATATTTATATATGTATATATTTTTAGTGTATGCGTATATTGGTCGATTGATTTTTGTTTCAGATGAACTCTGTGTGGGCAAGTATGTTAAAATTGTTGTTGTAGATACATTTAGTAATGTTTTTGCCATGTAAGCAGCCAGGTGATGAGAAGGCAACGAAATAAACACTGATGGTAGCATTTTATTCTGCTAAAACCACTGTAGTTCTTGCTTTGTTCAAAACAATCTCGTTTTGTTTTCCATTCATTGGGAAATACAAAAACCTCTATTATAATGAATATCATATGCCACCCAATGCCCAAATTTTTTCAAACCGTTAAAAGTGAACTTGGTTTGGACATATTATAAATTGTTATTTATTATAATAAAAATGATATGCAGAATATATTAGAGTAGACGCAGAGTGGGATGAGATGAGGGGCGGGGGGATCTAATTGAAAAGTAAAAATATTTCTTCGCTCAGCTCAATCTTTCTCTTTTCTAAATGTCTAAATGGGGATATTTTCTATATTGAAAACTTTTTCACTGGTAATTAGTAACGAAAAGATTTTTGACTTAACAAACTAAAGTACGATATTATTTATTCCATCGTGCCCATCAATTGCTTTTGCATTTTGCACTAAAAGTGGACTGTAGAGTTAGTGTGTGGATCATTTAGTTGGTAAGTGTGTATGGAGTTTTGGCTCTCATTGTCACTTTAGTATTAGGATTTCATTTGGTGAGTCTCGGGGTTCGAATCTCACCTTCACCTGCTTTAGTATAACGACTTTGTGTGGTATTATTAGCCGTCATAGAATAATTTTTGATATTATGGTCTATTGCATGAGAAATCTTTGTCAAGTAGTAACTGAATTACAAAGCGTCGGTGGCATAGCGGTTAAGACGCTCGCCGACCATGCCTCACATGGTCCCGGGTTCAATCCCCGGCCACCGACGCACTCCTTTACCTCGTTAAGCCAGAAAAAATGCCAGTAAAGAGGAAAGGTTGGGCATGAGGCTGGCTAGCAACCCCATCCTGTAGAACTTAAACACTGCTACAGAAACTTCAAGCCACTAGCTTGAAGCCCTATGTCCCACTGGGAACGTGAAGGAAAAATTATTATTGTTAACTGAATTACATGGGATTACAGAGTTTGCTATAGTAGGAGTTGTATTGACTTGTTGAAGCATCACCAGTCTGAGTGCTAAGTAAGGGAGGAGGGAAATTAAATCTATTGACGAGGTTGTGAAGCAGTTGCATTCATTGAATGAGATGGTTTGGACATGTGTTACGCCTGCCTACCTGCCTAGCCCATTGCCTTCCTTGACCAACGGCCAATGTTAGTTGGCCTACGATCAATTCCATTATTATGGGTCAATTTTGTTTTGATAAAGTCTCACAGTGTTGTTATACAGTAGTAATGTTTACTGATGACCATGTTTCGAGCACAATTTATCGCTCATAATCATATCAAGGTGATATGATATGATCATGAGCAACAAATTGTGCTCGAAACGTGGTCATCAGTAAACATTGCTGTATAACAACGCTGTGAGACTTTATCAAAACAAAATTTACCCATAATGGAATTACACTCTACCACAGGGCACAAGTTTTATTCTTATATCAACGATACATATGGTCTTCCTACCATGATGCTTGCCAGCAAACTCACACGACTTAGTCAAGCTGAAGCAAAATTCACAAATCATCGGATTTTTACCAGTCGGTGTTTAAAAAATCATAATTCCGAAATATTTACGTCGTCTACGCACTCCAATTACTTCAAGCAAAATAACATCAGCGACTTACGACCAAGTTGAATAAAAGTGCTAGCATGTTGTGATTGGTCTGACAGGACCCGGTATAAATAGTATATATTGTCCTTTCTCACGAATCGTGTGATTTATCTTGTTATGGAGTTACTATGTCAATGTATGATTTCTCATGTATATGGTGATTTGGTGTGTGATCAATTATAAATTGTCTTTCGTCTCAGCTTGGTCTTTGTCGAATCACCAGCCAATGCGAATAGCCAATACCAGTCAATAAGATCAATCCATTTTCACGACTGAGCAGACTTTTTTATAGTAAAGAAAATGTATAAATATCTTGTCTTAATTCTTGAAATGTTCAATACAACAAGATATCTTACAGTCACGGGCCAGCCTTTGTCTTTTGATATTTACATGGCTCATTGAATCTGAGGGTATAACGGACTAATAGACGTATTAGCGTACTAGTCGAGTTCATTACCGTTATATTGATTTTAGCAGGCGCAGACATAACAATAAAGTAGCAACAGATTTATTCAGTTCATTCCGGTCATAACACAGTCAAACGAAAACATGGGTTCATTAGTCAACCAAAATCATAACAACAGTTAGTTTAAGCCCCCCCAGCCGCCACGTAGGTGGTGGTGGGGGGATGTAGACATCCTGACTGGCTGGTTGGGGCCCTTGGAATGATGGTGAGAATGAATGAAGACTGAAGATTATTGGTGAGATATGCTTCGTCGTTGTCAATGATTGCGCGGATCATTCACTCTTTACGACATGTCACATCCAACAAAACTGTATTCTTCTCCCATGTTACTACTTATTTTTTTTCATCGCTTACACTTCTGTTCATTATCTCTCCCTTTTCTGAATCTACCTTTACTATTTTTTTCTCTTGCTTTGTCTGCTACATGGAGGAAAGGAGAGAATGCCGACTTGAAGTTGCACACATCTGTGCAAAGTTCTATGTTGAGAGATATCAGTCAGTCAGACATAAAGCTGAGGTTGGTGCTGAGAGGAGAATTTTAAGTGAAAAAATCTCAAAATCATTTACACATTGCCAATCGAATTCAATGATTTCTCATTTTAAACACTAATTGCTCATCCTGAGTGTATGTGTTATATATATTCGCTCTTAATATTCTTTGTTACTGTGTCCAGTTGAGATGAAGTAATGAACATCTCTATGATTTCTTCACATGCAATTAATTCGTCACATCTGTTGATGATTGTTTCAATGGTGTTGTTACAATACAATGTCGTATGAAAAACTTACTTACTTTACTTCGGCTATCTCCTACGGGAGGATGAGCCGGCTTCATGAACACATCTCGAATCATCGCTGTCCAGGCGTGGCGATCTCATAAAAGGTTTTCCCACAGCCTTATCCAATTCTTGTTCCACAGACCGAGTCCGTAGACGGTTTGTAGACCCAGCCCAGTCACTCCATATCAGCCTTGACTGACTGTACCAAGCCATGTGTTTTCCGCTGTCCACCCCTCCGACATATCTCCAAGATGGAAATGGCGAGGAGGGATTTAGAACTGATTTCATTGACCATATCGTCATCTGGTCGGCTCGGCCCAGAACATGGCCAAACCACCGAAGGCCACGTTGTTCGACCAGTACTGGTTGATGTTGGTTGATGTTGTAGCAACGACGACAGTTGATGAAGTTTCATGGGAATTAGGTACGAGTGATATGTCCCCAGAATCGCTCGGCCTTTTGTTTTGTTTAAGAGTTCAGCTTTAGCCTTTACACAACCAACCAAGTGTGACCTCCTACAAGGCAGTAGGAGTGGGGTAGGGAGGAGTTGACTATCCATTGTCAGCCTGCTGTTGACCGGAGTCCGGTTCATACGCCTTTTTCAATGGGGCCAGACATGCACCAGGGAATCCAATAAGCCCTTTGTCCATACGTCTGCCTACCGGTGACCTCCAGTGAGCTTCATACGCCAGTCGTTGGAGGTTTGGAACCAGGCAGGGTTTAGCCATCTCCCCTAGACTGTGTGTCATCCAATGGGCAGTCAACCCGGTGAAGAGTGCCGGTCATCCGCTTTTGCCCTCTCACTTCGGTGAGTAAGAAACACCTCCGCCACGTGAAGGCAGTGAGGACTGAGGACTTCCTGAGGAGAGGCTATGTAAGACGCCCGGTCATATGGGAGCATTTGAAGAGGTGTACGGTGGGATGGGTGTCCAACCCTCAGCGTAAGGCACCCACCCCCGACCATCCTGAGGCTTTGGAGGCATCATATAAAAAAAGTAGTATTTCACTCATTACCCTTACACTTATTTATTTTTTTGTAAAATGTAGCTATGTTGGATTGCATTGCCAGTATATAACTGGATATTCCAAAGGTGCTGGTTATCGTCCGGGAATGTCAATTAGAGAAAATCATCTTTTTCGTAATACTTGGCTAGCAGTTTACATTTGTGATGGTTGGCGTTTTGTAAATTGTAACTGGGGTGCTCGTTACCTAACAGAAAGTAAGTCACTTTTTCTTTTTTTATGTAGTTGTGATTACACGAATATCTCCCCTGATTTTTGCTTCTATGTGTTCACCCTGTGACTTATGATCTTCAATGAAACTGTTTTGTATTTCTTTATTACTCCTTTGTCTCACACCTCTGCTCACTGTTTCTATTATGCTTTTCTTGTACTTTCTTCTCTTGCTTCGCGTGCTACACGGAATGTGGCGACTTGAACTTCCGCACATTTGTGCAAAGTTCTACGTCGAAAACAGACAGACAGACCTTCGAGAAATACCACGATATAACACGCACACATTTTGTTGAATGGCAATATTAATTGTTAACAGTTCAGGGGAGTATGGGTTGATCTCTGACGAAATCTCAGCTGAGTACGGATACAGGGAGCTCGTTTCGCATATGTCAGTTTACGCCGTCTCTGGTGTAGACGAAATATTCGACTATCGACCAAAGGACCGGTGTATTGCTCATCAGTCCGCTCCGTCCTCCTTTATGGTTGCCTATGAGACCTGGCCACTGAGAGTGGAAAACGTGAAAAGATAAGCTGTCTTTGATCATAGGTTCCTGCGTTTTATTTCCCGTGTGAAGTGGCATAATAAGGTGAGGAATATTGAGGTTAGGCGTCGGTCGAGTTCTAGGTAAGGAGGGGAAATCAATTGACGAGGCTGTGACGTTACAAAGACTGAGATGGTTAGGACATGTGTTACGCATGGCAGCCTAGTCACCGCCTTCCTCGACGAGCAATGTTAGGTGACGTAGGGTCAGGCTGGAGAAGAGCTAGCGGCGGTCGAACAAAAACTTGTCACCAGTCAATGAAATCTGCAACATCATGCATTTCTTCCCCTTGATAAATTTGAATAAAGCGAGAACACAACAGTGGTGGTTTGTGCAGAATAGGAAAGTGGTACCATCATTATTTATTTCGTTGGCTTCTCGTCAGCTGCTGCTTACAGCCTAAATAAATTTTCAGGTTTAAGTACAGAAACTTTTTAACATACTTGCAAATTTTACATGTTGTCGTCAGTTGACAGAAAGTTCCACAATTAGTGAGTGAACAGTGCTCAGAAAATTGCGCTTATATAGTTTTTACACAGGCAGTTCAAGTTAAAACAAAATAAATGTATGCAGAAAATGGTAAGGGAGTTACATAATAAAGATGGGATGTGCGTTGGATGCATAGTGACTAATAAGTTAGGTAACAATGTACTGAGTTGAACTCAAATCATAGAAACAAGAGACAAGCAAAATTACATAATATAAAAGAGGGTGAGGTTAAAGACAAAGATTACGCAATCAGATGGGAGAAAAAAGACATCCAGTTACCAAGGCAAGGAAAGACTAATAACTGATTCTTTCTGAACACATAGATCTGGTTTCAAGCGTTTGATAGAAATTGCTTCGGCAAACTTGAGGAGAATGGAGCTCCTTTGTCTATTGATAATTTTGAAGGATTTCTCGATTTCCACCTCATGACCCGTGTCGAGGAGATGTCTGGTAATAGCGCTGCTATAAGAGTTTGTTCCCTTGAGACGTAGGCTTTTCGGCACATGTTCAGAAAATCGGAGGTGTGCCCTTCTTTCTGTTCTCCCAATGTAACTGCTCCCGCAGATACACGTAAATTTGTATACACAGTTGGAGTTAACATGAGAAGGGTATCTATCGACTTTTGACTGCACCAAAGAGCATGTTGTTCGGTGGACGGGAACCAACTTAGCTGCAGGATAGGCTCTGGCTAGTGACGTCCTCAGTCTTCTGTTGACCATTTCTGCAATGTCTTCACCTTTAAAGTCTAGTTGAATGAAGACAGGCTTTTTTCGACTGTGATTTGTTTGGTATTTGGGCCTTCACATCTTCCATATTTGTTAATGAATTTTTGAGTATAGCCGTTGTTTTTCAGCACCTTTTCGAGATTCGTGAATTCTTCCTCTAGTTTCTCTGCAGAGCATATTCTCCTCGCTCTATAGTACAGAGTCTTGACTAGTGCTCGTTTATAGCTATTTGGACAAAAACTATTAAAATGTAAGTATTGTCCATTCCATGTGGGCTTTCGGTAGATTGACCTCTGGAGGCTACCATCTTCTAGGCGTTTTATGGCGACGTCAAGGAAATGGAACTGTCCATCATTTTCATGTTCCATAGTAAATACAATATTTGTATGTGCGTTGTTGAATAGTCTGAGTAGGTAGGAGGCATGACTTTCGTTGTTGCATACTACAAATGTGTCATCGACATATCGACAATAGGAAGTTGTTTGATCAATTGCATGCTTCAGCTTTGTTTTCTCAAGGTTTGACATAAAGATATCTGCTAAAACAGGGCTAAGTGGACTGCCCATAGCTACACCATCTATTTGTCGGTAAAGAGTGTTGTCAAACTGGAATTGTACACCCATGGTACACATTAGCAGTAGGCGTTTGAATTCCGGCTCTGGTAGTGGGAGAAGATCAGACTGTTGACAAATGATCTCAATGGTTTCATTGATTGGGATCATTGTGAACAAGGAGGTTGCATCAAATGAAGCCATGAACTTATTTGAAACGTTCATGTGATTCACGCTTTCAGCAAAATGAAATGAGTCCTTTATGGTGTGCGCGGCCAGCCTTTGGCGAATGGGTTCCAACTTCTCCGCGAGCCAACGGGCAACCTTATGTTGGGGAGAGTTGATCATCAAAAGTATAGGTCTCAGAGGGACTTATTTTTTGTGTGTCTTTGGAAGGCCATTGATATATATATGGCAAGCGGGACTCTCGGGGTTTTGTTATAACTGCACTGAATTAAGGTAAAACCCCGTCGCCAATTTGTTATAACTGCACTGAATTAAGGCAAAACCCCGTCGCCAATTTGTTATAACTGTAGTGAATTGAATGAAGACGTTGTCACCTTATTCTGTCTGCGCCTGAACTAATCTGTCTATCTGCTCGTCGTACCTTCCGACTTAGTAAAGCACGCAAATATCAAAAGACAAAGGCTGGACTGTGACTGTGTATTGAAGTGCAACAACGATAAAGAAAGCCATGGTATTTATACATTTTACAACAATATGGACAGCTAACAGCATTTGAAATAATTTATCTTAATAGCCAATAACAAAGTGCGTGAGAGATGATAATATACCATATGTGCGAGGTTGACAGTCAGTAACAAAATGTGTGGGAATGATAATATACCATATATACAAAATTAGCAGTCACTACCAAAATGCGTGAGAATGATAATATACAAAATTAGCAGTCAATACCAAAATGTGTGAGAATGATAACATACCATATATGCAAGTTTAAACAGTCAATACCAAAATATGTGGGATCCTATCACCTCCCCCCGTAAAGAGTGTAGGACTTGCTTTTTGGATCTATTTGAAAAGGTTTCGGAGCTCTTCTTTGTCGAGTTGACCTTTGCGTGGTACTGGATAGAGCGTGATCTGTGTGTCTGACACATAACTGTCCTTTTTCATTCGTACGATAATGCAGCAAGAATTTATCCAAAATTTTTTCTGTTGTTCCCTCCCCCTTCGCTTTTGCATAAGCACGCTTAAAGGTGTCGACGAAACGTTCAGTCTGTCCATTCGATTGGGGATGATACGGGGGGCTACGAATATGCTGGATGCCAAACAGTTTGCAGAAATCTGAGAACAGTGATGAGGTGAACTGCGATCCATTATCGGACACCAGAACATCAGGCATACCAAAACGACAGAATAGTTGACGTAGGTGGGACACTGTTGCAATTGATGTGGCAGAATGCATAGGAAATATCTCTGGCCATTTGGAAAACGCGTCGACACATATTAAGAAATGCATACTATTGAACGGTCCAGCGAAGTCAACATGAACACGGGACCATGGTTTGTCCGGTCGTGGCCAGGAACATAGTTCTGTCTTGCGTGGACACTTTGATGCTTGAGCACATTTACTACACTTGCGAACGAGGTCTTCGATATGGTCATCGATGTTGGGCCAGTAAACATAACTGCGAGCGATCGCCTTCATTCTCCCAACACCAGGATGTGATATATGAAGCTGCCGAAGCACATGGTCACGAAGATTAGCTGGAACCACAACACGATCAGCAAACATTATGCATCCATTAACGATGGATAGGGATTGGCGTCGCTGGTAAAACTGTTTTAAAACATTTGAATGAACATGTGGAGGCCAGCCAAATCGGATGAACTTTGATACTTGCTGTAAAACTGGATCACGCAGTGTGTGTCTGGCAACCTCAACTGCAGTCACCGGAAGATCGTCCAGAGAGATAGACATTATAATTGGGTTGTAATTTACACAGTCAAAAATGTTATATAGTTGCGCTGAACAGAATAAAAACTGTCGTCGTTGCGTGCTATAACTGCGATGAATTAAGGTAAAACCCCGTCGCCAATTGTTATAACTGTAGGGAATTGAATGAAGACGTTTTCACCTTACTTTGTCTGCGCCTGAACTAATCTGTCTATCTGCTCGTCGTACCTTCCGACTTAGTAAAGCACGCAAATATCAAAAGACAAAGGCTGGACTGTGACTGTGTATTGAAGTGCAACAACGATAAAGAAAGCCATGGTATTTATACATTTTACAACAATATGGACAGCTAACAGCATTTGAAATAATTTATCTTAATAGCCAATAACAAAGTGCGTGAGAGATGATAATATACCATATGTGCGAGGTTGACAGTCAGTAACAAAATGTGTGGGAATGATAATATACCATATATACAAAATTAGCAGTCACTACCAAAATGCGTGAGAATGATAATATACCATATATACAAAATTAGCAGTCACTACCAAAATGCGTGAGAATGATAATATACAAAATTAGCAGTCAATACCAAAATGTGTGAGAATGATAACATACCATATATACAAAATTAGCAGTCACTACCAAAATGCGTGAGAATGATAATATACCATATATACAAAATTAGCAGTCACTACCAAAATGCGTGAGAATGATAATATACAAAATTAGCAGTCAATACCAAAATGTGTGAGAATGATAACATACCATATATGCAAGTTTAAACAGTCAATACCAAAATATGTGGGATCCTATCAGGTTTCAACTCATTGTACGTTTGTCAATCAAATTCTTCTTTAGAAGATCTCTCAATACGTTTGTGATGCGTTTCTCGGTTGCATCTGTCTTGTCTTTCTGGCAGTCGTTGACTTTGAACCTCAACGGATCATTGAGCACAGTTTTCATCCTTGCGATGTAGTCATCTTTATCCATCACTACCACTCCTGAGCCTTTGTCATGTCGCAGTATGACAATTTTGTCATTATTTCTGAGAGCTTTCAATGCTTTTTGATGCTCTTCAGAGAGGACTTTTGAATATGACGTTGGTGAGATGAGGTATTGATTTGCAACGTCGACCAGCTTAGATTTGAACCAGCGCTCTTCTTGTCCTCATCAACTGGAGTAAGATCATTCAGCTGATTGAATAGGTTTTCGAATTGAGCTGCGACGTCGATTCTATTGACAAAGTTATTCGGGATATGGAAGTTAAATCCGAGGGAAAGCACTTCCATTTCAATGCGGCTTAAATTCAGACTCGACAGATTATATACAAAATCCTCAGGATTTTCTGGGAAGACTTCGTATATTTTTTCCTTCGTCAGGGTTTTATAAAAATTTGCACAGGTTTTCTGTTGAAGCTCTTGAATGAAATTGATGAATTTGATCCGGCAAACTATGTTCAAACTATTGACCACACCGTCAAAGGATCTGGCTTCTGTTCTCAATTTTGCAATCAGAGATTCTGTTGATTCAATATGCGATTTCGTAATGCGTCGGAGGTTTTTGAGCGAGGGTGGCAATTTGCAAGTACGGAGTGACTTGATGAGATGCCGAGGAAAGCAGTGGGATTGCAAGCATTCATCGTAAAATTTTATTCGAGTAACTTCTCTGGATATTCTCCAACGAATTGTCATCAAGCGATCCAGTGACTTGAAAGATTCCGCGGGGAGGCGATTTTTGAGAAACCTCATGTTTTCGAGGAAGCTGTCATCCATCGAGTTGGATTGATGCTTTTATCATGTTTAGCAGCAGAAACTCGCAAAATCAGCTGGTTGTAAATGTTTTTGAAATACACGCCAAAGTAAAATGAAAAATGCTTTTATTGATCATATTTTACTAGAGTTAAACAAAGCCTCAGGATGGTCGCGGGGGTGGGTGCCTTGCGCTGCGGGTTGGCCACCCCTCCCACCGTACACCTCTTGAAATGCTCCCATATGACCGGGCGTCTTACATAGCCTCTCCTGATGAAGTCCTACTCACTGTCTTCACGTGGCGGAGGTGTGTTTCTTACTCACCGAAGTGAGAGGGCAAAAGCGGATGACCGGCGCTCTTCACCGGGTTGACTGTCCATTGGATGACAGTCTAGGAGAGATGGCTAAACCCTGCCTGATTCCAAACCTCCAACGACTAGCGTATGAAGCTGAAAACGTTGACTACTTTCGATCATAGATGTCTGCGATCTCTTTCTCACGTTAGGTGGTGGTATAATAAGGTAAGTAATGTTGACGTTAGGCGTAGAGTGTTGGTCAGGTAAAGAGGAAAAATCAATCGACGAGGCCATAAAGTTACATAGACTGAGATGGCTAGGTCAGGTGCTGCGCATGCCTAACCATCGCCTCCCCCGACGACGGGTATTACTAGCTGATATAGGTGCAGGTTGGAAAAGAGTAAGTGGTGGCCAAACAAAAACATGGCCTCATCAATCCATGAAATCCTTGACAGTTAAACAACTAAGTCAGGTAGGTGGGGGAGATGCAGACTTCCGGGTTGGGGCCCTCGGGACTGACTCTAGGAATCAATCAGTGGCTGGAGACAATAGGTGACACATGGCTCAAAATCGTTGTCAATGGCCAGCGCACATGTAATCAGTCTCTGTAATCTTTCATATTCCTCCTTTCTACCATTACCCATTCTGTTTCACTCTTATACTTGTCAAACTCTATTGATTCTCTTCACTCATCTTCTTGTCTACGTTTGTGTGGTATTTGGAACGTGGCAACTCGAACTGGTGCACTTCGGTGCGAAGTTCTATGTTGAATACAGACAGACAAAGGTAGTATTGAGCGAAGACGACTGTTGATGAAGGTTTGAAGTTTGTTTGAGGTGCTCTTCATGACGCACTGGCCAAGTTTCTGATCCGTATAGTGAGTAGCACTGACCGACTTTACATTGGAGTTGAAAATCCGGATCTTATTTTTGATTCTGAGTGATGTTGACCTCCACACAGACTCGGGAGTAATGAAAGCTTGTCTTGCTTTCCTGATCCTTGCTTTGATATCCTCGTCAGTTCCGTCTGCCTGTAGTTGAAACGATGCTTCCCAGGTGGGTAGGTAAAGGAGGTTGTTTCTTTCAGGTTCCTACCAATTATGCTGGCTGATTGTTGTCTGTTGTTGTTGTTGCCCTTGCTGTTGGTGTTGACCAGGAATCTTCATCACCTCTGTTTTATCTATGTTCACTTGAAGTCCTATCTTTGATGCTTCTCGTGCCAACTTGTTGCTTTTCATTTGCATATCTTCCAGTTTGTGGGAAATCTGACATATATCATCGGCGAAATCCAGATCCTCCAAGTCTTTTGTGTCAGTCCATTTATGCCTGTTTCCTCATTGCCCGTTGTCTGTCGCATTATCCACTCTGCTGCAATCAGGAAGATCATTGGAGACAGTAGACAGCCTTGTCTCACTCCCATTCTCACTTCGAAGGCCTCCGTAAGTTTCCCATTGTGGATTACTTGGGATGCAGCATTGTCGTATAACTGTTGGATGAGGTGTATATTTGTCGATGGGACCCCACAGTAGTAGCGAAGTAGTTGACAAATCGCTTCTCGATCGACGCTGTCGAAGGCCTTTTCAAAGTAGATGAAGTTGAGTGAGGTGGAGAGGTGACTGTCATTCCAAGCTTTGCTCAATGATGATCCGTAGAGTGGCGATTTTTAATCAATACATGACTTGTTTCTCCTGAAACCATCCTCTTCCGATCGAAGTTTTTCATCCAGGTTGGCGTGTTTGATTCTCTCCAGGATGATACGGCTTAGTATTTTACTTGGGATGGACAGGAGTATAATTCTACGCCAGTTCTTGCATTGACTTAAATCTCCTTTCTTTGGCAGTATGAATAATAATAATAATAATCTGCGTCGGTGGCACAGCGATTATGACTCTCGCCGAGCATGAATATGGTCCGGAGTTCGATCCCCGGCCGATGACGTACACCTGGTATCTATGGTCGGCCTGCAAAATTTGGCCTACCGATATCATATGGTGAAAATTTCATACCTGTACCAAAAAATACGGTGTGGAATCAAGCTGTAATCAAGAAAAATAATAATAATAATAAATAGCCTTTCTTCTAATCCTCGGGTACCTTGCCCTTATTCCCCTCACCTTCTCTACTAGTAGTGTTATCATTCTGAATATTCCATACTTGTATCGAAATTACTGTGTTGAGTCAAGTTATAATAAAATAATATAAAATTCATAGATAATTCCAAAAAAAATTCATTTCATAGTAAAAGCTGCTCTGAAGAGATGTTGTCTAGATGGTGGTGGATAACGAAAGCTTTGTAATTATAATCTGCAACCAGCTCTCTCTGTGAAAAAGAATCCAACCAAATTTAGATTGGTAAGGTAGGTGTTGCTTGATCAATGTCTCAGCTGATCTCATGCATATATATATTACCTGCCTATATATTTAGTATCAGTGAATTTTAATAAGATTATATAAATCCCTTTATTATTTCTTAACCGCGTGGATGTGTTTCCTGTTTTGTTTAATTAAATTCAGTGTTTTCAAATGTTGGTTTGTAGGGATTTGATTGGTTTCAGGATTTCATCATGAGCTGACATTAGTTAGAGAGAACCATTGGAAAACCTGCCACAGGGAGTACTGGACAGCTGTTTCGTCAGCCTAGTTTGGGACTAATTCTTCAGCAGTACGCACCTTACCGCCATCGTTCGAACCCAGGACCTTCCGGTTACAAAGCGAGCTAGCTCGTATACCATTAACCCACTCACTGGGACCCAATCCAATGGTCCTTGAATTCTAACTTCTGCCAATTCACACACGACATAGCGCGACCGCTAGCCAATGTTTTCGCTGGCGAGTATTTGTCCTCACACCCGACCTGCTGCACCCTACTGGTCACGACTTCCCACTGGAACCCAGGTAACTACCTACCTGAATAGGGCCAGTCGCCAGTGAGCATCTCATTGGTTTTCAAGTGTCAGTTTGTAGGGATTTGATTGGTTTTAGGATTTAATCATGCGCTGTATTATATATTTTATCCATGAGTATCTCATCATTTCACTTGTTTTATTTACTTACAGATGTATTAGACAGTCGGTCAACTGGACCACCTGATTGTGATGAATTCTACTTTCTCACTGATCCAGAACAGCATGTATTTGAAAATCTACCTGATTTAAAAGTATGGCAGTTACTTCGGAAACCGTTAAGTATCAATCGATTTTGTCATTTACCTCTGTTGAAATCACCATTTTTCAATGCTAATTTATCCTTAAAGAAAAATTATTCCGATTGCCTTATCACCAAGAATGGGCAGGTACGTCTTAAAAATTGTTCAGTGTGTAGTCATTCTGTTTTGTTTTTGATAGAGAAATAAAGACCAGATTTGCAGTATAAAATGATGCCATCATCATTCTATTTCACAGGTTCTCCTCATCAGCGGCTGCACACACCACTGCCTGAAATTACAATGGTTATAAATAATAATAATAATAACATTTCGTACTTCATTGTTTGAAAGGTAATAGAGAAGACATTATAAGGTGAACAACGCATCTGGAATATAAGAAGTATTATAATCTAAGTCACCATCAATTTATATACTGTCAAACTGTGAAAGAAGAAACAAAGAGGGCGGTTTAGAGAAGACAGAAAACAGAAAAATGTAATAAACAGTGTCAACATGTCAACTCAAGAAGGTCAAAGTTCATCAATTTGAAGACTTGCTTAGTGAGTTCAGTTGCTTACCAGTGTGTATGACTAATCAGTGGAATGAAAGTGATATGGTTACCAAGGGAGTGAGAGATTAACCGCACTCTCTTTCTGTATGCATAAGTTTGGTCTGTGACGTTTGATTGCTGTAATTCCCTCAGCAAATCGTAGTAGATTCGCTGTCCTGGTAATTGCACTTTGTAAATATCTACTTCCTTTTAAGCATAAGTTTCTCGGAATATGCTTTGAAAAAAAGGTGGATAGAAGCCCTTCTTTCTGTCCTTCCAAAGTACTTGCTTCCGCAGGTACACGTAAATTTATAAATGCAGTTAGAGGTAACATCATCAGCAGGGTACTTATTCAGTTTCGATTGGCTTATAGAACATGTAGTACTTGCTGTATAGTGTCACCAGTTTGGCTGCAGGAAAGCATCTTCCTTATTGCTCCCTTCATCCTCATTTCAATCTTTTGCGATACGGTTTCTCCTTTCTATGGGAGGCAGATGAACACTTTCTTCTTCTCAACTGTTGGATATTTCGCTTTCTCATCTCTTTCTTTTCTGTACTTTAAGATATAAATCCTTTTGGATACCCGTTTTCCTTAAGGCATTTTTCGACAAAGCTTAATACTTCTTCTACCTAGTTAGGCGAACATAATTTCCTGGCCCTGTCATATAGTGTCCTCACTAATCCCCGCTTATAGCTCATAGGACAGAAGCTGTTGTAATGAAGATATTGTCCGGTCCAAGTTTCTTTCCTGTAGATTGACTTTTTGACCGTTCCATCGTTTCTTCCTTTTACATTTAGGTCCAGGAAATTGAACTCATCGTTGTGTTCGTATTCCATGGTGAATTCAATGTTTGGGTGAACCTCATTTAGGCGGTCAAATATTACGGATACATGACTAATGTCGTTACAAACAACAAAAGTATCATCGACGTATCGACGGTAGTATGTTGTACCATTGATAGCGTCACTCAGTTGCGTCTGTTCGAGATAGCCCATGAAGATGTCTGCCAGAATGGGTCTTAGGGGTGAATCCATGGCGACTCCGTCAATTTGTCGGTAGAATAGGTTATTGAATCTAAATTGGATGTCTTTTTGGAAAGAAAATTAGTAGCCGTTTCATCTCTGACCCCGATAATGGCAATAGATCTCCGTGTTTACAAATGATATGTATTGTTTCCATCACTGGTACATTTGTGAATAAGGCAGTCACGTCGTATTATTACATTTTTCTGTTTTCTGTCTTCTCTCACCCACCCCCCTTTTCCTTCTTTCATAGTTTGACAGTATATAAATTGATGGTGACTTAGATTATAATACTTCTTATATTCCAGATGCGTTGTTCACCTTATAATGTCTTCTCTATTACCTTTCAAACAATGAAGTATGAAATGCTATTATTATTATTATTTATAACCATTGTAATTTCAGGCAGTGGTGTGCAGCCGCTGATGAGGAGAACCTGTGAAATAGAATGATGATGGCATCATTTTATACTGCAAATCTGGTCTTTATTTCTCTATCAAAATTTATCAAGGGAATCACCAAATGTATGAAACATTCTGTTTTTGTTTTGTCATAAATCACCATAATCACGTTTTTGTAAAATGAAATTGCAGTGAGCACAATAGTTTTAACTGTTAGGCAAACACTGAACCGATAAGAAAAGACTTTTGAAGATATCTAGATCTCCCGTGTGGATGATTTATGTTTATTTTATTTTATTTATTTTTTTTTAATTTTCATTACAGCTTGATTCCACACCGTATTTTTGATACAGGGGTATGGAATTTTCAGCATGTATGCTCTCGGTAGCGCAAATTTAGCAGGCCGACCATAGCATATCGAGTGGCTCAGGGGATCGAACCTCAGACCATGTGCATGGTCGGTGAGAGTCCTAACCACTGTGCCATCGTGTGTTGTTCTGTATCGAAGAGATGAGATGGAATAGGCACTACGAAAGGATTTTGTTTCTCCCCATTACTTAACACCAGCGACTCAGGTTGATTTTCGAAAAATTCGACGAGAAATACGCCTCCACAGAATCAGTCAAATTAGTAGATACACATAGAAGAGGCGAAATTAGTCAGTTTGTCTTTTACTCCCGAAAGGAGAAGAGAGAGGAGTGGTTTTGAAGACACAGAGTAAGTAATTCAACAGCAGGGAATGCTCTTTTTACCGCCTTATTTCTAAGACACTGTGATAGGAGTAGTATCTCACTGATGTTCTCCCGAAGGAACTGCATTTGTAAGCATAAGGCCTTTCTAAGGAACTGTTAGTACCTTGGGCTGTTTTGATTTTGAGATTCATATTCTTATCAATAAACCTGACTTTCAGTTCGTCCATTAGGAATGTATTTTTATTTTGCACAAGTAAATGTATTTGGGCAGTTAAACCTTATTATTAGGCCAAATACCGAATCCTATGAGTCTTCCTATAGTGTGATACACAGTTGACTGATAAATCATGTGGGGCACATCCATCTGCTTTAGGTCCTGTTATGTATAAAGATGCTCGACTGTGATACCTGTTACTGGTTGATTTGTCATTGTTTTAATTTAATATTTAATATTGACAGCTTTATTCCAAATGGTATTTGTGGTACGGATATGGAATTTTCAGCATGCATTACAACATATTGCATCTAATGACCTCATAAATTTTATAAGACTTGTAAATTCAAAAAGCGATACCCCAAAAAAAGAAGATAAATAAATGAATAAAGGAACAGTGTCGCGTTTACATTTCAAACAATGAACCACAGGATATGAAATATAAAGTTGATGTGTGATAGAAGATGAGAACAACAGTGTAATAGTAACGAGGAAAGGAAAGCCAAAACTAATGGGACTATTTGTTAGAGTTCCGCAGTAAGTTTAATCGTGTCATACCTAACGGATTTCTCATCACGCACATAACGGCTGTGCCAGATATGGTATTGTGGAGTTTTTGTACTTGGTAGTCCTAGCATATAGCCAGCCAGCCAGCCAGCCTTGTATAGCTGCTTCTAGTTCTACCAGATGAAATGCAAGGAGACAGCTGGTATAGAGAGGATCCTTGGGGTCTGACAATATTGTATTCGCTAGTTTCTTACATGACATTCATTATATGTCTATCCACAATAGTGTTAACCAGTTAGTTGGTTTAACGATATCCCACTTGTCCTCCCTACTAACGGCTTTTAGTGCCTGCCCTTCTCAGCAAAGCAATGCAAAGTCTTTCTTAAGTAGTCCAGGAAAGATTAATGGGGAGCAGTAAAAGGGATGGGTAGAATAGAAGAATTTACAAACTGAGAATGTAAAGACTGCTTTATGCCAGACTACCTTAACTTCCTAATGTAGAACGTTAAGCGAAACATCTTTCTAGTAACTAGCAAGATGTGGGAGGACCAGGAAAGATCGGTGGAAAAACTCAGGCCAAGGTACTTGACATTAGATGTATTTTCAACCTGTATGCCATCAATGATAGTGGGGCCATGTTAGCTAACTAGTTGTTGTAGGTCACGTTTTCGTCTGAAAGTGAAATTGACTACCTGACATTTAGACGGATTCAGCTTAAGACCGTTTGATGAGGACCACTGACTAATTTCCGACAGAAAGTTATTAAATTTGGAACAATCTGACTGAGAGTTGAAAGGCATAGAAACAGAAAGGTCATCAGCATACTTGACAAAAGTGGCTACATCAGAATGAGGCAAGTCATGTAAGAAAAAAGAAAACAGAAGAGGAGAAAGAACAGTCAGTGCCTTGAGGAACACCAGCTAAAGTAAGTGAGGTAGTGGAGAACTTTCCATTGTAGACGGTGCACTGCTTCCTATCAGCAGAATAGGAATGCAACCACTTATTTGTCTAGCTCTCACTCTGCCTGTGTTGCAGCAAGCTTATTCAGCAAGAGAGACCTAGGAACAGAGTCAAATGCAGATGTGTAATCAAGGAGGGAAGGCACAGCGAACGTATTTAGCTCCTTTATCTAAACTAGAGACTATACTATGATGTAGGACAACAGTATTCTTCTCATATATATATATATATATATATATATATATATATATATATATATATATATATATATATATATATATATATATATATATATATATATACGTCAATGGGTGTGAGAATTTCCATCCAGCCACTAAGGGCTTCTGTATTCATCAATATCATTGGCTTGTCCTAATTATGTGTCGAATAAGCGGCTGCTGAGAAAAAAGCCTGTCATACTCTACTTCGCCAAGAAACAAACCCCATTATGACTATTATTCCTACTTGGCTTTGTAGTCATGTAATATCTTATTTTTTTGATTTTCGACAAACGCTTTCACTAATAGTGGTGGTCATGAAGAATTAAAATGTTATCAATTTTTGGTTTGCAGGGATGATTTGGTTTAGAGAACCATAGAAAAACCAGCTGGTGGACAGGTGTTTCTTCCCAGTTGGAGACTATTTATAGCAGTAGGTACCTTAACCCCCCCTGGGGTTCGAACTCTAGACCCAGTCAGCCACTGAAACCTAACCCAATGGCCACCCCATAAATTCTAACTTATGCCATTTCGATATATATATATATATATATATATATATATATATATAGCGTAACTACCAGCCAGCGTCATAAGCAAGTGACTGTTCTCTTGTATGAATTCTTGAACCCCCTTGGTTAAAACTTCTCACTAGAATTCCAGGTAATTTCCTTTTTATGGCCAGTTGATAGTGTCAGCCTATGATCGCCATCGGTCAATTCAAGATTACAGCTGACATAGCTTCTTTCGGTTAGTTAAACACTTTTAGGGAAATTTTCAAGGTATTTTTTTGGTGTCTGTGAGTGCCTCAAGATACAGTCAGTACATTCAATAGTATTAATAAGTTCAGTGGATTTCGCGGATGACTTATGTTTGATGTCACACACAATCGAAGACTTACAAGCGAAAACCGACAAACTGGTCGAAGAAGCAGCAAAGACAGGACTCCAGGTAAACATAGACAAGACGGGGGTCATGAAAATAACCAACCAACAACAACAGCAACAACATCCAACGTCAATCACCATCAACGGGAGGGATTTGAAAGAGGTTACTTCATTCACTCACTTAATTATGGAGCATTGTCTAAACTACAGGAGGAGCGGACGAGGATGTCAAATCGAGAATCAGGAAGGCGAGAAACACATTCATCAGCCTGAAATCAATCTGGAAATCTTCATCACTCAGCATCACCAACAAAATTCGGATTTTCAATACAAACGTCAAGTCAGTTCTTCTATACGGATCAGAAACTTGGCGGGCGGGTCACAAAGAATATTTCCAAAAGGCTGCAGACCTTTATCAACAACTGACTGTCTTCGCTCTATACTGAAGATCAGATGGCCGGAAAGAATCACCAACAAGGAATTATGGGAACAAACAAAGCAAGAGCCAATCGCCAACCAACAAATATGCAGGAGAAAGTGGAGACGGATGGATCGGACACTCGCTGAGGAGACCGCTGGGTGACATCGCGCGCCAAGCCCTCGAGTGGAACCCGAAAGGGAAGCGGTGTGTGGGACGTCAGTGCAAGAGTGACATAGAAGAGATCTTGTGAAGAGGAGTTGAAAGAATATGGATTAACATGGATGCAGGCGAAAAGTATAGCAGAAGACAGAAGAAAATGAAGACGTGCAGTTGAAGCCCTATGTTCCACTAGGAACCCAAGGGAGCAATAATAATAATAATAAGTTCAGTGTTGGTTGCTTTTAGTGTTGAGTTGAAGGTGTTTTTTTTCTTGAGATTGGTTGAAATATTTAGATTAGTTGTTGAAGAGGTCCCTTTTAAATTATCATTATCATTGATAATGCAAGCACCTATTTTAACACATTTAATATCTGAATGTTAGTTACTTAAGGCTTATTTTTGATCTGTGATCGTTAAAGGTTTTGCTTCTTCCTTGCTCTTATCATGCAAGTGACTACTTGAATCATGAATCAGTCGCAGTTTAAGGTTATGCTTTTTTTCATTAGTTCTGTCATAGTATTTTTGAAGTTAGCCCTCGATTTTTAGGTTGGGAGAGAACAATTAATCAATGAGGTTGGGAAGCTACATCGTTGAAATGCCTAGGTCACATGCTATGCATGCCTAGCCGTCTACTTCTTCGACGAGTGTGAGAATGTGTGAGTGTGTTGTGTACTCGTCGCTAAATTATTGCTATGTACAGGTCGAGAATTTAATAGTCCTGACACAAGAAAGACGGAAATCAGAAGACCACTAGGTTTGCGGTGATACTTCTATATTCCAAACACCAGGAGAATCAAATATATATCACACAATAGTGTGAGAGCAAAATTTATATGAGTGTCCAAATAAGTGTGTGAACAATCAACAGACAGTCTTAACATGATTGGCTAATTATGATGGAGTATCGATCCATATATACATAGCGAAATATAGCAGACATGTCAACAAACACACATTATATATAATATAAGGGGAATATACATTGTTAAAGGAGACAGGTTCACCAAAGTGACATGGTCACAGACTAAGAGAGCAACAGAAAGAGAAACCACCATATATATATATATATATATATATATATATATTGGATACATATCACCTCCCTTTTTGAGAAGGTTGATGATTAGTAGGATGTTTTCCTGGGAGTTTATCTGGAACCTTTGAGCTTGTTGTTGACGTCTGTCGTTTCGTCTGCCTGTTGGGTTTGCGGCTTCGGCTTCGTCCGGAATTGTCTGACATTTCATGCTTCTTGACTGCATTGCATAGCGAATTTAGTGGGACATCAGCCAGATGCAAACGATCGAACCAATCAAGTCCCAAAAGATTTAAATCACTCTTGGTGACGTAGCAAATTCCTGTGAATTTGGTATTGCGGAAGGAAACACAACATTTGAGTTCACCCATTAGTTTTAGCCGCTCACCACAGGCGCTGACAAGAGTCTGGGAAGTACTTGTGATAGGTGGTCTGCCAATATTATTCCAAAGTTTCTCTGATATAACAGTAATATCAGTGGTGGTATCTAGCTGCAGACGTGTATCATGACCATTCATCTGAAGATCAAGATATTTCCGCATACCTGGTGTTGTGACTTGACAGATTGCGACTAGACTCATTGATTTTTTTGGGGATTTGGGACCAACAGTTTGTCGAGCTTTCGCTGGATTATGATATCTGAGTTTGCGTGGCTGGCAAAAACCATATTTATGACCAATGATTTTGCACTTGCTGCAACGATGATTTTTGTATGGACAAGACTTTACAAAGTGCCACGCGCCACAATGCCAGCATGATGATGGTGGGGTCTTCTTTGCAGTAATTTGAGAAGTTGGACGAGTATGTGTAGATTTCCGCGGGACATTAGGAGAAGTAGGTGGGTTAGGACTGGATGATGAGGGATTTTTTCTCTTTCGTAATGCATGAATATCAGAGCTTCTGGAAGGTGTTGATTCAACCAGGTGTGTATCTTTCTGCAGACTAATCAGCCGTTGATATTCATCAGCTATGTCATGTAATGTTAACATATCAGAGTGTGATTAATTTTACTCATTATTTGTTGCTACATAATATTAGTGAATACTGCGCGGATGCCCGGACCGGGGCAAGTGGTTGTCTTAAAGAACCACCCCCAAGCTTTTGACTTGGAGTCTCATCTTCAAGGCAATGGAACAGCGTCAGGAGCTACATCCCCATGATCGCCGGTGAGCAATACAGGTTCATGTTCCATTTGATCCGTTTGGATTCTGGAGCCCATGTACCCCATATCAACTACTATTACTATCCAAACAATCTTTTTGGCACGGCAAGACATGCAGTAACATAAGTCTCAGTCAGTGTAGCTTGTTGGGTCACTGCGGTCACTGCAAACTTAACCATCGCAGCAAGGTAGCAGTTATCTTCCGGGGGCTCGACACGTAATGTTAACTGAAATAGGATCAGGTTGGACAAGAGATAGTTGTGGTCAAAACAAAACTTGGATTCAGTCTATTAAGTCTTTGACAATTAATTTTTCAGCCTCATAGACAAGCTTACACTGTCTGAGTAGAGTCCTTACGAAGCTAATAACCAGTGGCTGGTGGAAACTATTGGTGATTTGATTCGAAATCCTTCCTAGTGGTGAAGACGCATTCCCGTCTTTGTGATCGATCATATCCAACAACACCGAATTGTTTCTTCCACGTTAATATTCTTCCTTCGCCAATTTTCTGTTTAGTATAGTCCATTCGAATCCTTTTTCCCTGACCTTGTATACTAAACTAAGTGTGCTGCACTTCTGTGGAAGCTCAGTCAGTCAGCTGCTGAGGCTTTGATTCAGTCGGCCAACACTCACTGATTAACGCTTTGCTCAGGCTTTTAACCGGAGGTGTGGGGTGTGTGTGTGTAAAAATGATTTGAAAAAATTTATTTTACCTGGCACAACCTCTTAACGTGTTTATTTCATTATTCATGTATTTACCGCTTAGGAGTGTATACGATATATATATATATATATATATATATATATATATATATATATCTTATTTGAGAATTTTTCTGTGTACATTTTAGGTTAGCATAAAAATAAAAATGTCCAAATTCGTTGGTATATCATGCAGTCTAGAGAATTGTGCAGATCACAGTATTCTCTTAGGCCTGTGTCTAGTTGAAGTTCTGTTAAGGCCACCAGAAGTTGTACGTATACAAGCTGCACCTTCACAACCCGGGAAATACTATTTAAATATTTATGTATCACCTGATTGGCGACGTGAAGATGTTAGAGAGTTGGCGTGTTCATTTCAGGTTAGTTATGCATAATTTTCATTGAATTATATATATATATATTCTCTCACCTGTTTAATCATTCCGACTGATTAAAACAACCATACTTTGATTGACCACCAAGGCGGTAGCTAATATCATGCATGGGTCTAGTCCTTGGCGTTGTTGGTGCGGAGTGAATTCTGTTTGTTACCATTCAAGTTTGCAGTATGGCCACCAACAGGTGGTTGTTAGGTGGCTTGTCATTTTGTGATGCACTCCGAATTGTTACTTGTTGATGACTGGTGGCAATCGACATGATGAAGCCTTGGAGCCATATTTTGTGCTTTTTGCCACTTATCACAGCATTGCATCTCTGCAACAACCTTAAAGGGGACCTCAGGTCTGTTCTGAGATATTCAAACCTGTGTCACGCAGTGGTGCACACAGACACACGTTATCACTGATCCATTCGGTATAAAGATATCGCTGGTAAGAATGAAGACTCCCCAACAGAATCAATCAGAAATGAGATACTAAGGTGTGGAATGTTAGTAAGTGCATTTACCATTTTTGTTGTCATTGTGACCATAAGGAATTAGATTTGCATCCTGCAAATTTCCTACGCCCCAATTACTATTGTGGTGAGAGCAGCCTGCTAGCCTGCAATTGGTTGACATTAATCTACGTCAATGTCTAGGTCACTTAGATGGGCCGTGAGAAAATATGAACAAGGCTGTTTCAACAACCAATCACAGAAAACTTAAACGTGGGCAAATATGATTCCCAGATAGATAGATGGCTCCACTTTCCGTCCGAGGAACTCGAAAACAATCAATCAGAAGACTGCGTTTGTCTACCTGACTAGGCTGTAATAATGTATGTGAAATTTATATATGAATACGTGTTGATCTCCGTAATTAAACGATCTGTTGCCTGGCCCTTGTCTTCTGTTGTTACATTTAGTGTCGCTTCACTGATTTCTCTACTAAAGATCAGATTGCCAGATTGCGAGAAAAAAGTGTAGAAACAAGGAACTTTGCACTTCAGTGAACCAGTCAACAAACTCATTTATAGCGAAAACTGTTAAATGACAATGCGCTCGACAGACTAATCCTCAAGTGGGGGACCCAAATAGCAGATAACGACTTATACGTCTGGAGGTGGTGACGTGGAAGAGATGAGAGCCTAAGGGAATTTGTGGAGCCAGTTAAAATGAAGCCCCAGGGAAGTGAATAAAGTGGAGAGGTGCTGTTGTGACACCCTGTGTGTTTCACCTGGAACTCAAAGGGCGAATAATAAGAATAGTGTTATGTATTAATAATAGAAAAGATTTATAACTCAGGTGGATGATTTGCAATTAATAGTGTCCTCTGAGCTGGTTGGTTTAGTTGCGGAGCTTTCGTCGTCTTTCTGGACGGCATCTTCAGCGCAGTATTTAAATCTTTTAAGTTTATGCTAAATACTGCGCTGAAGATGCCGTCCAGAAAGACGACCAGAGCTCCGCAACTAAACCAACCAGCTCAGAGAACACTATTAATTGCAAAAGTGTTATGCACTGGTGCTGAGTGAGGTATCAGAGTAGTTTTCCCCGTCGCCAATTATGTTATGTACTCGTCGAGTAGTTAATAGTCCTGACGCGGAAAGAGGGAAATCAGAAGACCACTAGGTTTACGATGATACTTGTATTTTCCAGACAAGGACAATAAATGTCACACAAAAGTGTGAGTGAAATGGTACGTAGTGTACGAAAATGTGAGAACAAGTATGAACAAGTATCCAGTACAAAAGTATATATGAAAATGACTAATACACATGAACCAATCAATGGACAGTCTCGACATGATTGGTTGTAATGTCATGTGACAACAAGGTCATACATTGTTTATTTAGTTAGTGGACAGACAAATGCATATCGTCAGTTATAATGAAATATCGATCCATATACACGTAGCAAAATATAACAGACTGTCAAAAACAGAACACAAATCATGTGGATACATATCAAAGAGTAGTAGTAGTAGTTTGCAGGACCAGATGGAAACCCAGCAGAAGCATTAAAAATAGACCCAGAGACAACAGCGGACTTGACGATGCCACAACTGGAGAAGGTGTGGAAAGAGGGCAAAGTACCCGAGGATTGGAAGAAAGGATACTTATTTAAACTACCAAAGAAAGCAGATTTAAGTCAACGTGAAAACTGGCGCGGAATTATGCCCCTGTCCATTCCATCCAAAATACTAAGCCGTATCATCCTGGAGAGAATCAAACACGCCAACCTGGATGAAAAACTTCGACCGGAAGAGGATGGATTCAGGAGAAACAAGTCATGTATTGATCAAATCGCCACTCTACGGATCATCGTTGAACAAAGCTTGGAATGGCAGTCACCTCTCCACCTCACTCAACTTCATCGACTTTGAAATGGCCTTCGATATCGCAGCGTTGATCGAGAGGTGATTTGTCAACTACTTCGCTACTACTGTGGGGTCCCATCGACAATTATACATCTCATCCAACAGTTATACGACAATGCTGCATCCCAAGTAATCCACAACGGAAAACTTACGGAATGCCTCGAAGTGAGAATGGGAGTAAGACAAGGCTGTCTACTATCACCAATGATCTTCCTGATTGCAGTAGATTGGATAATGCGACAGACAACGGAAACCAACAAGGAAACAGGCATAAAATGGACTCACATAAAAAACTTGGAGGATCTGGACTTCGCCGATGATGACATATGTCTGATTTCCCACAGACTGGAGGATATGCAAGTGAGTACAATATCGTTTTGTTTTTCAAGTGAACATAGATAAAACAGAGGTGATGAAGATTCCCGGCCAACATCAACAGCAACAACAATAACAGACAACAATCAGCCAGAATAAATGGAAGGAACCTGAAAGAAACAGCCTCCTTCACCTACCCACCTAGGAAGCATAGTTTCAACTACAGGCCAACGGAACTGACGAGGATATCAAAGCCAGAATCGGAAAACCAAGGCAAGCTTTCATTACTCTCAAGTCTGTGTGGAGGTCAACATCACTCAGAATCAAAAATAAGAAACGGATTTTCAACTCCAATGTGAAGTCAGTCAGTGCTACTCACTATACGGATGGATCAGAGACTTGGCCAGCGCGTCATAAAGAGCATCTCAAACAAACTACAGACTTTCATCAACAGCTGCCTTCGCTCAATACTCCGCTCAAGATCAGATGGCTGGCCGGCCAGAAAAGATCAGCAACAGGGAGGGATCTCTGGCAATGAGCGAACCAATCAACACAACAGGAACCGATTGTGAAACAAATAGGCAGGAAGAAATGGAGTTGGATTGGATTGGATTGGCCATACTCTGAGAAAACTAACCATCAAGTGACTGACATTAGTAGACAAGCCATTACTCGAGTGGAACTTAAAAGCGAGGCGGGCGGCGAGTTGGTCGTCAGTTCGAGGGTGTCTTGGAGGAGGTCGTCATGTGAAGGGGAGTAGATGAAAGCATGTGGGCAGACTTGGAGAGGGGGGTGGAAAAGTTGGCAGAAAACAGATGGCAATGGAGACGTGTGCGGCTGAAGCCCTATGTTCCTCTAGGAATTAAAGGAGAAAATAATACAAATAATGATAATAAGTAGTAGTTGTTTGGATGTTAGATCACTTTATTTACATAATAACTTAACTGAAGTTGATAAACAGTGCGACGAAGTAGCTTCACACTATTGTTATGATTTTATTTCTTGTATACAAGTTCTGTAGGGCTGACAGTATAAAACAGTGAGTGGATTTAAATAAAAAACAAAGAATTGCCGTGAGTGGTGTTTGTTTTTGTTTTGTTTCACAGCATACACTTCATACTTAATGCTTTAACTAGTTAACCCCCCCTTTTTTTGTGAACACTTTCAATTACTGTTTTTATTTATCAAGGAAAATATGGTTCTTGTTCAGCGAAGAAATACTATCTCGACTATCTTTTAACGACTTCATTTTCAGCCAGCTGTACAGCAGTTTTATTTATTTATTTATTTTTACGGTAAAAGATAAAGCATTAAATGGCACTAGAAAAAATTTTTTTCCTTCACGTGTTCCCCAGTGGAACATAGGCCACCTTCAAGCTGCTAGTAGCTTGAAGTTTCTGTAGCAGAGGTGTTTATTTTTACAGGATGGGGTTGTTAGCCAGCCTCATACCCAACCTTTCCTCTTCACCAGCCAGCATTAATTTTGGCTTAGAGAGGTAAAGGCGTGTGTCGGTGGCCGGGGATCGAATCCCGTACCATGTGAGGCATGGTCGGCGAGCGTCCTAAACACTATGCCACGGACGCACACCACTAGAAATTGCTGAGTCAATATTGCATATATATGGTAAGAATAAAGGTAATTAAAATGATGTTTTAAGGAGGGGGGTGGGTGGGGGCAGAGTTGAAGTGGATGAAGGTGAAATGAAGTGGAATGAATTCAAATGGTGACGAAAAGGAATAAAACAAGAGAACATTACTGTGACCAAGGTAAAGAAAGGCGTTTGAGAAGACGTTTTTTGAATACACATAATTTAGATTTTTTGTCCATGTATAGCTAGACCTTCGACTATGCATAATTGGAGAAGACGTAAGCTTTTGGAGTGATTGGTTGGATTTGGGCCTGTAGAGATAACTTTAAAGGATAAATCACGTGTAGGGCGCTGAAGTGTAAAGTGGCATAATAAGGTGGTGAGCAATATTGAGGTGAGGCATCGGTTGAGTTCTAGGTAAACAGGGGAAATCAATCGACGAGGCTGTGAAATTACAAAGACTGAGATGGTTAGGACATGTGTTACACATGAATGCCTGGTCATCGCCTTCCTTGACGAGCAATGTTAACGGATATAGGGTCAGGCTGGAGAAGAGCTAGCAGCGGTCAAACAAAAACATGGCCTCACTGTCAATGAAATCCACAACAGTTGATCTAAGCCATGTAGGAAGCTGTAGACTGGTTTCCTGGTTGGGGTCCTCGGGACGGTAAAAATCGATGGTTGGAAACAATTGTTGGTGACATAGCTCAAACTCATCGTTCTCAATGGCTGGCTGGTGCAGATGCATCCACTCCTTGTGACTTATGATCTCCAATGAAACTGTTTTGTTCTTCGTTACTACTGTTTCTTTGTCTCACACGTCTGTTTACTGTTTCTATTATGATTTTCTTGTACTTTCTTCTGTTGATTTGTGTGCTACAAAGAGGGAGTGTGGCGACTTGAACGGGCGCACATTTGTGGAAAGTTCTATGTCGAAAACAGAAAGACAGACATGTTTTTGTTTGGTCACCACTTACTCTTTCCCAACCTGCACCTATATCAGCTAGTAATGCCTGTCGTCGGGGGAGGCGATGGTTAGGCATGCGCAGCACCTGACCTAGCCATCTCAATCTATGTAACTTTACAGCTTCGTCGATTGATTTTTCCTCCTTGCCTGACCAACACTCTACGCCTAACGTCAACATTACTTACCTTGTTAAACCACCACCTAATGTGGGACAGAGATCGCAGACATCTATGATCGAAAGCAGTCAACCTTTTCATGTCTTCAACTCGTATTGGCCATGTTTCAGGCCCATAGAGAAGGACGGGGAGCGAACTGTTGAGCAGTACACACGTCCTTTGATTGATAAGCCACACCTACGCCAGAGATGGTGTAAGTCAGTGAAAGCAGCTCGAGCTTTTTAGGTCCGTGCTGAGATTTCGTCGCCGATCAGTCCGTTGGTGATACTGATACAACTTCCCAAATAGATGAAGTGGTCAACATGTTCTATCACTTCACTCCCTATCGCTAAGCTAGGAGTTGACGTAGTCCAGTCGTGTAGCAGCATCTTACATTTTGTACAGATGATTGAAAATGAAGTCGTTGCAAAAAAGGTGATAGTATTTCTTCGCTGAACAAAAACTGTGTTTTTTTTCCAAATGTTTTCTTCTGTTGGATATGCTAACAAAATCGTGCAGTAGGGAAATATAGTCTAATTTCGTTTTATCTAACTGGTGTGGAAATTTCTTCTCTTTTTTAATTTTATTTTTTGTAATTTGCCACGATTAATTTTGTTTCCTGCTGATATTTGTGTCTTTCTCTTCTAATAAGTGGGATGTTTTTTTAATATACACGTAGTTTAACTTCGATTTGTTTCCGTGTGTGTATGTGGTGGCTATTGTAGCTTCTGAATTTGCGGTAACACAACGTCTTTTGAATAAAGCGAGAACACAACAGTGGTGGTTTGTGCAGAATAGGAAAGTGGTACCATCATTGTTTATTTCGTTGGCTTCTCGTCAGCTGCTGCTTACAGCCTAAATAAATTTTCAGGTTTAAGTACAGAATCGTTTTAACATACTTGCAAATTTTACATGTTGTCGTCAGTTGACAGAAAGTTCCACAATTAGTGAGTGAACAGTGCTCAGAAAATTGCGCTTATATAGTTTTTACACAGGCAGTTCAAGTTAAAAAAAATAAATGTATGCATATAATGGTAAGGGAGTTGCATAATAAAGATGGGATGTGCGTTGGATGCATAGTGACTAATAAGTTAGGTAACAATGTACTGAGTTGAACTCAAATCATAGAAACAAGAGACAAGCAAAATTACAGAATTATAAAAGGAGGGTGAGGTTAAAGACAAAGATTACGTAATCAGATGAGAGAAAAAAAGACCTCCAGTCACCAAGGCAAGGAAAGACTAATAACTACTTCTTTCTGAACACATAAATCTGGTTTCAAGTGTTTGATAGAAATTGCTTCGGGAAACTTGAGGAGAATGGAGCTCCTTTGTCTATTGATAGTTTTGAAGAATTTCTCGATTTCCACCTCATGACCTGTGTCGAGGAGATGTCTGGTAATAGCGCTGCTATACGAGTTTGTTCCCTTGAGACTTAGGGTTTTCGGCACATGTTCAGAAAATTCGGAGGTGTGCCCTTCTTTTATTTCTCTTTTCTTTTTATCAATGACGTCCTTTTATTATTATATTTTTTTTTTCAGATTCATTGTTCAGAGTATAATTACTCACGTCTAGTTGTCACTGGTCGTTTACCAGAGGTTGGTTTTCTTGGTCGTACACCTGCTTCACAAGTCCATGGTGTAATAATGGTGCCAGAAGGGGATGCTTCAAACGGTCGACCGTATATTGTACACAATGATCCAAGACCTTTAAAAATTCCTTTTGCTATAGCTCCAGGTTTAAAGGTTTGAACACTTTATGTACTATTGTTTGTTTTTTTCAACAGTGTGTAAATTCAGTTCAATTCAGTGGTTTCATTTTGTCCTAGTTCACCGTAGAGTTTTTTTGATAACATTCAGCAACATATTTTGTGTTAATGCTGTGTGATGAAACATTAAGCTTCAGCTGGTATGTGATATCTTTGATTTGATTTTTTACTTCATAGTACTTCTAACCAAGTTTTGATTCATTAGTAGTAGTTCGTCTCTTTGCTGGACACTCTTAAACCTCTCCTAGTCTGTTGGTTCTCTGGCGTAAATGAGATGTTCGACTATCGACCAAAGGGCGGGTGTACTGCTCATCAGTCCGCTCTGTCCTCCTTTATGGCCACCTGTGAGACCTGGCCACTGAGAGTGGAAGACATGAAAATAGTAACTAGCTGTCTTTGATCATAGGTGTCTGCGTTCTTTCACCCGTGTGAAGTGGTATAATAAGGTGAGCAATATTGAGGTTAGGCATCGGTCGAGTTCTATGTAAACAGGGGAAATCAATCAACGAAGTCGTAAAGTTACAACGACTTAGATGGTTAGGACATGTGTTACGTATGTCTGGTCATCGCCTTCCTCGACTAATGGGCAATGTTAGCGGATATAGGATCAGGCTGGAAAAAAGCTAGTGGAGGTCAAACAGAAACTTGGCACTAGTCAATGAAATCTGCAACAGTTAGTTTAAACCACGTAGAAAGGTGTAGACTTCCAGGCTGGGGTCCTTTGGACGTGGCTTAGACTAACTGTTGTGAATTTCATTGACTGGTGTCAAGTTTCTGTTTGACCTCTCCACTGACTTTTTCCAGCCTGACCCTACATCCGCTAACATTGCCCTGCTCGTCGAGGAAGGCGATCACCAGGCATACGTAACAACACATGTCCTAACCATCTCAGTCGATGTAATTTCACAGCCTCGTCGATTGATTTCCTCTGTTTACCTAGAACTCGACGCCTAACCTCAATACAGCGGTAGAATGCTCGTCGAACCACGCATGTGGTCCGGGACTCGATCCCCGGCCGACTCACTCCTTTACTTCGCTAAGTCAATAATAAGGCTGGTAAGTAGGGAAGGTTGGATATGAGACTACAGCAAGCCCATCCTGTAAAAATAAATACCGATGCTACTGTGAAATTTCAAGTCTCTAGCTTTAAGCCCCATGTTCCATTGGGAACATGGAGCTTACTCAAGAAAGTGTTGACTTTTAATATAAATAAACTCAGGTAGTGCATTAATTGTTTTTATAGAGTAATAATATTCATTGCCAGTAACCGTTATAAATTGGTCAGTAACATCTGTTCTAATAGAGTCGAATGAATTATCCACGGTGGTGCAATCGGAAAATATGTTTTAGGTGTATGGAAGTCGATAGAAATACTGTCTGTCATCAGTTGCATTTTAGAATAAATGACATAAAAGCTTCAAGCTTGAGGTTTAAAGTCTCAGCAGCAAAGATGTTTATATTTTTTTTTATACGGGGTGACGACTTTGCTAGCCTCACCACAGCACATAACTTTTCTTCCCTCTCTACTAATCTTACTATCGGCTAAGCAAGGTTTAAGAATGTGTCCATAGGTTATGAATTGAACCGTGGATCATGTGTGGCGTGTGTGGGGTTGACAAGTGTTCTACCATTGAATTGCCAGAGCTTGACTTGTGGTACACTTTGGTTTGTGTATCATTTCTGTTATAGTATTGCTCTCCGAATAACTGTTGTATTTCCGCTCTAGCATTAAAATTCATTTTTTTGAAACACACTGTTTTTTGAAGTTTGTCTATTAATGATTGATTTAATCAGAGAAATAGTGTGTTTAGGTACGTAAACCTTGAAAGTGAATGGAGAACGTCATCAGTGTTATCAAATAGTAGACGTGCGGGTTAGCATAGTTCACTGTAACACCTGTAACATGGCCTCATCAATCCATGAAATCCTTGACAGTTAAACAACTGAGTCAGGTAGGTGGGGAGATGCAGACTTCCGAGTTGGGGCCCTCGGGACTGACTCTAGGAATCAATCAGTGGCTGAAGACAATAGGTGACACATGGCTCAAAATTGTTGTCAATGGCTAGCGCACATGTATTCAGTCTCTGTAATCTTCGTTATTCCTTTTTACCATTACCCATTCTGTTTCACTCTTATACTTGTCAGACTGTATTGATTGTCTTCAGTCATCTTCTTGTCTACCTGTGTGTGCTATTTGGAACGTGGCAACTCGAACTGGTGCACTTCGGTGCGAAGTTCTATGTTGAATACAGACAGAGACAGACAGAACACCTAGTGGTCAACGTTACCACACACACACACACACCTTCTTGTGGTCTGAGTCCCGCCGCCACTCACATTCCCACTTCACCTACAGTCATCACGCATTATATCTAATAACAATCTGCCAGCTGTGAACACAGATAGTCTCACTATGTGAGATGATGTTTCACACACTGCATGCGTAAAAATAAAAATAATATTTGCTTGTTAGATACTAACTAAGTGCCCAGACATCGTCGTCGAAGCATCTGCACAAGAAGCCGACATGTCAACCTGAGACCGAACACTTCGGTCCAATCAATCAATCGACGGGAAAATCAAAAATTCCAATTCAATAATTAATGTGACCCGTTGGACAAGAGGTGGTGGCTCTCGTGGCGTGGCCCAATTGGTCTAGTGGATAACGCTTTGGGCGTTTGAAACTATGGGTACTGGGTTCGAGCCTCAGTGGGAACATCATCATCACTCACTGGTAGAAATGCAGGTACATCCAGTGGCTGACAAGTCCCAAATAGGACGAAATGCGCTTTATCCTGGATTCCACTGCTAGTCACCATCCACCAATTATATCCTAACTAAATGCCCAGACATCGTCGAAGCATCTGCACAAGAAGCCGACATGTCAACGTGAGACCGAGCACTTCGGTCCAATCAATCGACGGGAAAATCAAAAATTCCAATTCAATAATTAATATGACCCGTTGCACAAGAAGTGGCTCTCGTGGCCCAAGTGGTCTAGTGGATAACGCTTTGACGTTTGAAACTATGGGTACTGGGTTCGAGCCTCAGTGGGAACATCATCATCACTCACTGGTAGAAATGCAGGTACATCTAGTGGCTGACGAGTCCCAAATAGGACGAAATGCGCTTTATCCTGGATTCCACTGCTAGTCACCATCCACTAATTGTTAGATTTCAGTTGAAACGCCTATTTTTGACCTTTGTTTTTTTTGCTTTGTTTTGTTCCTTTTCTCTTGAAGCTGTGTCACCAGTTGAAATCATTTGATCGACCTGGTAATCAAATGGCCGATTGTGATAGTTATGCTCTGCTACAAATGAAACCTTCACATCAGTATAAACTAACCGATTCAAAGGCATTCGGATCACAGGCGAATGCCTACTATTGTATTCGTCTACCTATACAAGCATTTTACTATTTAACTATATATGCATCGAATGAAAATGATCTACTTAAAGATCATTTAGACTGTGTATATCGTATTCTAATTGATGCACGTAATTGTCATTCCAGTCAGCTGATACATGCTTATCCACGTCAAACATTTTGGTGGGTTCAATGCCGGTTAATTGAACCGAGTCATCAACACTTATTCATTGATCAAAGCTATAAATTTTGTCTAGATGCACCTCAGTGTGATTCAGTAGCTGTTGTAATCAATGAATCTGAATGGCACTTTCTTACGCCTTCCTCCTCTTCATTCGCATCATCATCAGCATCATTATCAGCCAGTGGTGGTGATCTTCATGGTCGTTGGAGTGGAAAGATATACACTGGTAAATGCTTAGGACAATTATCAGTATTTGGACGTATACCTCATATTAATAAATTAAAGAAGAAATGTGATGATGCTGACGATAACGAGTCTAGAACTATCAATAATTCCATTCAGCGTAATTATAAGAATGGTAACAATTTTGACCATATTACCACCACCACCACCTCCACAACGGCTACTGCAACAACAACTACTACTACTGCTACCGACGAAGTCGATGGTGAAAATTCCTACATTAAACTATTAGATTATGTTCTTATTCAAAAGGAATAATAATAATTGCTGAAATCCCTATTCTTCTCAATGAAGAATTTGTGTCAGTTTATTTTAATACCAATACACGCATACACACACAATTATTGGGGGTTTTCTTTTCGCTCACAATGTTCGTTCGTGATCATGATGTTTTTATTTATTTATTTATTTTTTTGAGGATTTATTTATTTACTACTCGATCATTTTTACCAGTTGTGCACACTTGTGCGAATGTGTATGTCTGTCTGTCTGTGTGTGTGTGTGTCAGATTGTTTGGATATTTTTTTCTATTTCTTTCTTATATGTACTAAAAATTCTGTGTATACAACGAAAATTACTCACATTTTTGTTTAGCCACCATTTTCTCTATACATTCCTTCCTTCACTACTTATTTACTACTTATTTATTACTATTACTATTTTATTATTATTACTACCTGTCGTCAGTGCGTTAGTTGGTTATCATGGTGTTACTGTCTATACGATTTTCATTTTTCTCATTTTTGTGTGTCTCTGTGTGTGTGTATGTGTGCGTATATTCTGAATGCTTGATGTGTTCCGATCAAGGATTGTGTAGTTAGATAGGCATTGTTTGCATTACTACTACTACTACTACTACTACTACTACTACTACTACTACTACTACTACTACTACTACTAGTAGTAGTAGTAGTAGTAGTAGTGTACATCGGTGGCACAGTGCGGTTAGAACTCTCGCCGACCATGCCTCACATGGTCCGGGGTTCGATCCCCTGTCACCGAAGCACACCTGATATACATATATATGATCGGCCTGCGAAATTTGGGCTACCGATATTATATACTGAAAATTCCATACTTGTGTACCAAATGTACAGTGTGGAATCAAGCTGTAATCAAAAAATAAAAATAAATAAAATAGTAGCACTATTAGCAATAATGGTAGTGTGTGCCACTAGGAGGATAGTATTAGTTATCCGTCTGAATATATAGATATATATGAACAAGATGCATGCATGCGTACATGTATTCATACATACATTCCACAATATTTTCGGATGCGCCATTACAACACAAACATGCATTGAGAAGAGAGGGTGGTAAATTTCCTAATAATCTTTGCTTTATGTGTATGATTCATTTTGCTGTGTGCATGAGAAACTATTGCTGAGTTTTTATTTTGTTTATAACTTTCCTTCGAATATACAAGTATATACACATGCATATATGCATAGTGGTGTACATTTTGTTTAGAAGATTTATTTCAGGTTCTCTTTGCTCTCAAAACAAAAACAACAAACAAACAACAACAATAACAGCACAAACGGGATAACTTATTACACAGTGATCGTTTAACGTCATCATCCACGTCAGAATTCTGTTGAAGGTTGTTATAATATTAAATAAAGTTTTATAGTTGACTTCTGTGTTCTGTTCTGTTTATCACACACACTCTGAGCATGTTTGTGATAGAGAGTGGTGTAATAATGGCGAGAGTGGATGCTGAAGCATATATACCCTAACCCTCCCTGCTGCCTGCATGCCTGCCTGCCCCACCTGTGATAATACACCAAATTGAATGATCGCTACCGGGGGGTGTTTAGTAAAATCGGAGCATTTTTTGTTTCCTGAGGTGCGACAGGCCCAGTGTGAAACAATGTGGGCGGGTATGCTTTAACATCACACTCGTAACACTATATATATATATATATATATATATATATGCATGTTGATGATTGTTTTGTTGTCTGTAATGATAGAAATGTATGTCTGTATTGATTTATTTTATTTTTCTATTAACCAATAAATTTGTCATTAGTTTACAGATGAGAAATACCCTCCCGTACTGCTACGTCTGTCTTGATTAGATATACCTAGATAAAGTACAGAAATATTGGTTGTTTTTCAGAACTGGTACTTTCTGCTATCGTTTTTTTTTATTATAGTGAACGTCTTACTTACTTTTACCTCACTTTACTTCGGGTACCTCCTACGGGAGGATGAGCCGGCTTCATGAACGTCGCCAATCATCGCTGACCAGGTGCGGCCATCTCATGAGAGGTTTTCCGACAGCCTTATCCAGTTCTTCTTCCACAAACCGAGTCCGTAGACGGTTTAAAGCCCCAGCCCAGTCACTCCATATCAGCCTTGACTGACTGTACCAAGCCATGTGTTTCCAGCTGTCCACCCCTCCGACATATCTCCAATATGGATATGGCGAGGAGGGATTTAGAACTGATTTCATTGACCACATCGTCATCTGGTCGACTAGGCCCAGAACATGGCCATACCACCGAAGGCCACGTTGTTCGACCAGTACTGGTTGATGTTGTAGCAACGACGACAGTTGATGAAGTTTCATGGGAATTAGGTAGGAGTGATATGTCCCCAGAATCGCTCGGCCTTTTGTTTTGTTTGAGAGTTCAGCTCTAGCCTTTACACAACCAACCAAGTGTGACCTCCTAGAAGGCAGTAGGAGTGGAGTAGCGTAGGGAGTCGACTATCCATTGTCAGCCAACCGGTCACCGGAGTCCGGTTGATACGCCTTTTTGAATGAGGCCAGACATGCATCAGGGAATCCAATAAGCCCTTTGTCCATACGTCTGCCTACCGGTGACCTCCGGTCAGCTTCATACGCCAGTCGTTGGAGGTTTGGAATCGGGCAGGGTTTAGCCATCTCTCCTAGACTGTCATCCAATGGACAATTGGTGAATAAACACTGCTTAGGAATCCCCGTATACCTGTAACAAAACAACTATAAATGGTTCTCTCCTTGGTTTTCAATGGCACTCTCCAGTTGATGTTCGCTTTAAATAAAAAGTTAGTGAAGCAGAATTTAATTACGGTTAATCAAATTTCAGTAGAACTCTCTTCCTCAGCTGAATACTGTACAAACACAGATATAAAATTGAGGTCGAATGCTTTAATGCAGTTCAGTTTTGTCACTTAAATAAACACTTCCTTATCAATGAATGAAAGGACTTGAATAAAAATAAGAATTGGGAACTAAATGAAAAAAAATAATTTGGAGACGATTAAGATAATGATAGTGATAAAAGATAGTTTTAAATGAATCGGAAATCGTAATTATAAGAGGCAAAATAAAATATTGATAATAATAGTAATAACAGTTCGTATATAAAACATAGTACCATGGTAGATTCAGAGGGACCATCATTCCTTTATCTACACAGAGACCTGGTTTTATAAATTCGAATTGCAAAAACTTCCGCAGTTGTAAGCATCTTCCTGTTTTTGGTTGTCTGCTGACAACAGTGAACCACTCTTGACAGCGTCACTATCATGTCTGTAGTCCGCAGGCTGCTCTTTGTTATTTGAACTTTTGAGGCATTTTGGCTTTAGCTTGTTTGTTTTTTTCTTCAAATTCCTTGGCGAAAAAATGCTCCATCATGTGTGTAGACAATCGCCTTTCTGTACGACCTATGTATTTGCTCTGATAATATTTATAAAATTTTTATTAATATTATTTGTACTCAAATTTACCATAGTAGTATATGTTTCTTCATGCTTTTATACCTCCTTCAAGAGCCTAAGCATTTCATTGACTATCTCCCTCATTCACTTTTCTTATCATCCTGTTTCTAATTCACTTCCCTTTTGCCCTGTCTGACTAGTAGTAGTGAGTGATGTGTGTTTGTGTGTGTGTGTGTTGCGTCGCTATGCCAGGCTTTACATTATTGTGTAACTGTCTGGCTATTTTTGGTGTTGGTAAACATGCCACTAATTCTCTTTTTTTTTAGTGTTGATGATATGTTTGATCATAGAAATGCTGCTTTTGTTGGTGTTTTAGTCCACTGAAATTCTATTGTTCTGCTTCTTTCAAAATGGGGTAACATTTATAGAACACCGAGGACCAAGCAAATCTTTGTCTATGGCTCTACTTTTATATATCTATATATATGTTATTATATCCTTTAGTTCCTAGAGGAACATAGGGTTTCCGCTGCACGTCTCCATTGTGTTCGGTTCTCTCCTGTGATACCTGGCCACTGAGAGTGGAAGACATGAAAAGATTAGCTGTCTTTGATCATAGGTTCCTGCGTTCTTTCTCCCGTGTGAAGTGGTATAATAAGGTGAGAAATATTGAGGTTAGGCCTCCGTCGAGTTCTAGGTAGGGAGGGGAAATCAATCGACGAGGTTGTGAAGTTACAAAGACTGAGATGGTTAGGACATGTGTTACGCATGAATGCCTAGTCATCGGCTTCCTCGACTAATGGGCAATGTTAGCGGATATAGGGTCAGGCTGGAAAAGAGCTAGTGGAGGTCAAACAAAAACTTGGCTTCACCAGTCAATGAAATCCACATCAGTTAGTCTAAGCCAGTTACGTAGGATGGTGTAGACTGGTTTCCTGGTTGGCGTCTTAGGGACGGTAAAAACCAATGGTTGGAAACAATAGCTGATATTGCTCAAAATCGTTCTCGGTAATGGCTGGCTGGTGCAGATGCATCCACTCCTTGTGACTTATGATTTCCAATGAAACTGTTTTGTTCTTTGTTACTACTGTTCCTTTATCTCACACCTCTGCTCACTGTCTCTATTATGGCTTTCTTGTACTTTCTTCTGTTGATTTGTGTGCTACAAAGAAGGAGTGTGGCGATTTGAATTGGTGCACATTTTTCCAAAGTTCTATGTCGAAAACAGACAGACAAATGTCAACTTTATACTCACTATCTACAAGATGTTCTAACACAGAGTTAGGAATGGATCGTGTCTGTTCCTTGTTTAACCATGCAGGATTATGTTCATGAATCTGACTATGACTATGTCTGACTTTTGGTAATTAACTTAATAGCACTGAATAGTGGTACGCTTCTGTATTGTATTCAAATACTTATACATATATATATATATATATATATATATATATATATATGCGCCGGTGGCAAAGCGGTAGAATACTCGTCCGGGGTTCGATCCCCGGCCGACTCACTTCTCTACCTCGGCAAACCAATAATAAGATCGGTAAGGAGGGAAGGTTGGGCATGAGTCTAGCAACTCCTTCTTATCCCGCATAAATAAACACCTTCTACGGAAACTTCAAGTCTGTTGCTTGAAGCCCTATAATATTAGAGTGGAGCCTTTTCTCTTCTATAGTCAGTCTTAGCGTCAAAAATAGCCCTACTTACTCTTTTGTATTGCTTAATTTATTTTTCTTGTATCCCCATTATTTGCACTAATTTTTATATTATTTAGGAAAGTTATTTGAACAGCTGTGTGCATACCAAACAATCATCTGTCTTCAAGGAAATTAGAGTGAATCAATTTTCGAGGTCAAATCAAAAAGCCAACCACTTTTCCTCTCCCCTGATTAAGTTGTGTTCATTAGAATCAGTTTCTTTCGAAACAGCAAGGTGGTCTCAGTTCCCTGGTATCTGTTCCCTCGACAATAATGATAAAAACTATAATCGATTGGCTATTAGACTCCACCTTTTGTTTTTGGTCAGTCAGCCTCCAAAGCCTCAGGGTGGTCGGGGGTAGGTGCCTTGCGCTGCGGGTTGGCCACCCATCCCACCGTACACCTCTTGAAATGCTCCCATATGACCGACCGAGCGTCTTACATAGCCTCTCCTGAGGAAGTCCTCAGTCCTCACTGCCTTCACGTGGCGGAGGTGTTTCTTACTCACCGAAGTGAGAGGGCAAAAGCGGATCCCCGGCGATCTTCACCGGGTTGACTGTCCATTGGATGACAGTCTAGGAGAGATGGCTAAACCCTGCCTGATTCCAAACCTCCAACGACTGGCGTATGAAGCTCACTGGAGGTCACCGGTAGGTAGACGTATGGACAAAGGGCTTATTGGATTCCTTGGTGCATGTCTGGCTCCATTCAATAAGGCGTATCAACCGGACTCCGGTGACCGGTTGGCTGACAATGGATAGTCGACTCCCTACGCTACTCCACTCCTACTGCCTTCTAGGAGGTCACACTTGGTTGGTTGTGTAAAGGCTAGAGCTGAACTCTCAAACAAAACAAAAGGCCGAGCGATTCTGGGGACATATCACTCCTACCTAATTCCCATGAAACTTCATCAACTGTCGTCGTTGCTACAGCATCAACCAACATCAACCAGTACTGGTCGAACAACGTGGCCTTCGGTGGTTTGGCCATGTTCTGGGCCGAGCCGACCAGATGACGATGTGGTCAATGAAATCAGTTCTAAATCCCTCCTCGCCATATCCATATTGGAGATATGTCGGTGGGGTGGACAGCTGAAAACACATGACTTGGTACAGTCAGTCAAGGCTGATATGGAGTGACTGGGCCGGGCTACAAACCGTCTACGGACTCGGTCTGTGGAAGAAGAACTGGATAAGGCTGTCGGATAACCTCTCATGAGATGGCCGCACCTGGTCAGCGATGATTGGCGACGTTCATGAAGCCGGCTCATCCTCTCGTAGGAGATAGCCGAAATAAAGTAAGTAAGGTCAGTCAGCTGGTGTCCGATCCCCGGTGGGATCATATGTGCTAACTGCTTAAGAATGCCAGACTAGGACAAAGTAGGCATAGGGTACTCCTTGGTTTTCAGTAGTTTTCTAATTGATATTAGTTCGTGGTCAGATTAGGAAGTAGTCGAAACCCGAGAGACCGACGCTTAAAAACAATAATATTTTTTTATTTTATTTGTGATTTACAGCTTGATTCCACACTGTATTTTTGGTACAAGTATGGAATTTTCACCATCTGATATCGGTAGGCCAAATTTTGCAGGCTGACCATAGATATCAGGTGTTCGCCGGCGTGGTCTGTATTTAGGAAATAAATGTTTTATAATCAAATGTGTTTGCACTAATTTTTTACACGATTCGACGTAATCTAATGCCTTTGTTAATTGATGGATGATGACTAGCGGTACGGAATCCCCAGGATATGCATTTCGTTCTATTTTGAACTCGTTATTTGGATGTGCTTGCATTCCCCAATGATGATGATGTTCCCACCGAGGTTCTAACCCAGGGCACATAGTTTTAAACGCCCAAAGCATAATCCACTAGACCACTTCGGTCACGAGAGCCACCCTCTTCTTGTGCAACAGGGTCATATTAATTATTGAATTGAATTTTTGATTTTCACGTCGACTGACTGGACGGAAGTGCTCGGTCTCAGGTTTGACTTGGAATTACATACCCAGATAACGTTGAAGCACTCTCCACAAGGAGCCGACATGTCGACCTTCACGTCAGTCCAACCAATCGATGGGAAAATCTAAAATTGAATTGAATAATCTCTTTGTTGTTGTTTCATGAATACACTAAGTGAATGTATGTGTTGTTAGGTGGTGGTGCTTGCTTATACAAAACTTTACTAAGGACTTTGTCCTTCGAAACTGGTATTGTAACAACAGAAGACAAGGGCCAGGCAACAGATCGTTTTATTACGGAAATCAACACGTATTTATATATATATTCACATGCATTATTATAGCCTAGTCAAGTAGACAAACGCAGTCTTCTGATTGATTGTTCTCGAGTTCCTCGGACGGAAAGTGGAGCCATCTATCTATCTGGGAATCATATTTGCCCACGTTTAAGTTTTCTGTGATTGGTTGTTGTTGAAACAGCCTTGTTCATATTTTCTCACGGCCCATCTAAGTGACCTAGACATTGACATAGATTAGTGTCAACCAATTGCAGGCTAGCAGGCTGCTCTCACCACAGTATTATTTGTGCTAATAAGTGTCTGAGAGATTTTTTTTCACACATGGATTTTATTCACTGATAGATAATGTATAATTGAAGTTATTCCTGTTACTTATATTTATCTTTTTTTGTTGATGTTATTGTACCTTCTAGAGACACCTTGTTATACATATGTATATATACTCTCAATCAAGAAAATAATGCATTTCAAAATCAATGAAAATTTTGCTAAAAACTATAATAAATATCGTCAAAAAGAGGAGTACGAAAAGCTTAAAGCTAGACACGGTGATGCTAAGCTTAAAGATACTAAATTATTCAAGAAAACAGTAGATTATGACAAAGAAACGATTAAAACAGAGCCGACAGCTTCAGCCTTAGATGACGAAGAAGATGAGTCTACATCATCGAGTTCTTCTTCTTCTTCGGATTCTGATAATGAAAGTTGGGAAGAGAAAGAACAGGAAGACTTTTTAACTTTATATCAAGCATTATGCACTAATGATCCAGCTCTTAATGATCCAAATAAACAATGGTTTCGTGATCCTAATGCTTCGAGTGATAGTGTTGGTGATGATGATGATGATGATAAATCTGGTGTAGATGAAGCATCTGAGACAGAAATTCATGAAGGCACTGATACACAACACGAGAAGGCAAAGAAATGTGCTTTAAAACTTCGTGATTATGAGCGTGAATTTCTCTTGAATAATAACGGTTTAGAAGATGAAATCACTTCTCGGGAAGCTGAAAAGATTGTTAAGATGGAAAGTGATGATATTTTAAGACAGCTTAAACAACGTTCTAAAGATTTATCCAAAGAGGAATTTTTGCAGTAAGTATCATTAGTTGTTGTTGTTGTTATTGTTTTGGTGAGAGCAGTTCAACTTTTACTCACTACTTTATTCATAGTTCTGTTTGCATAATCTTACTGGAGAAGTATGTCGATAACACAAAACATTTCGATTTGCTTTTTCCATACTATGGTGGTTTATACAACGACCTGTTGTTTGATGTTACCTTGAAACCTAATCGGAAATTCCGAATTGTAATACTCCGGTCGTCATCATCATCATAATCAAATATACTTGTTTCCTGTGTCTTTATGCCAGAAACTTGAATGTAGACACACATTAAAATGTCATAGGGATCCACCAGGTTAGGCAGGTGGACAGTTATGCACCGATGATATTGTCTGGCAGTTGACGCAATATATATCACGAATTAGTAGATGTTAGTATTCTTAGGTCATTAAATCAGTTCCCAGTAGCTGGATTGGTCTACACTCTTGCTTTGTGACCTGAAGGTCCTATAGGTTCAGACCCTCGTGGGTGTGTACTGCTAAAGAGTCTCAGACTAGGCTGATGAAAGCAGCTCTCCAGTCCTCTCGAGTTTGTCCAACGTTTCTCCAAACTGATATCATCACCTTGTGTAGCCGACATCTTGTAACCAGTGAAATTCCTGCAAAACGACACTTGAAATAATTAGGATGTGTGATGTATTTTGACTAGTCTCTTGATTGGAGTTTCAAGAATATAGGAGAATATATTTGAGAGGCATATTAAAATGACTGTGTTGGCCTCAATTCCCCTTTGTAATGCATAAAAAGTGGTGTATTTATTCTCCAATCTCAATAAAGTGAACCGGTGTTATTTAATGAATGCATTCTATAATTGATCGGGAACGACTTCCAATCATTTGTTACCAGTGGTCATTTGTATTCTATCCCTTAAAATTCAAGCCTCTAGTTATTGTTGAGTATAGAACTAACATCTGTTTTTCATATTCAAGTCACGTATGTTAAGTTGACTGTGTGCGAGTCCCCCTTTCGAATTTTCTTGTCTATTGAACAGCAAGTCGAAGTGACTATGCATAGTGCATTTTCGTGCAGTTGTAAAGTCTCCCAACTTTATTTATGTAGTTGTTCTTGTCTGTCTACCTAACATAACAATGTTATTCAAGTGATGGTTTGTAGGGATTTGATTGCTTTCAGGATTTCAGCATGAGCTGACATTAGTCGTGACCAGTAGGGTGCAGCCGGTCGGGTGTGAGGACAAATACTCGCCAGCGAAGACATTGGCTAGCGGTTGCGCTATGTCGTGAATTGGCAGAATTTAGAATTCAAGGACCATTGGATCGGGTCCCAGTGAGTGGCTTAATGGTCTACGAGCTAGCTCGCCTTGTAACCTGAAGGTCCTGGGTTCGAACGATGGCGGTAAGGTGCGTACTGCTGAAGAATTAGTCCCAAACTAGGCTGACGAAACAGCTGTCCAGTACTCCCTGCAGGTTTTCCAGTGGTTCTCTAACTAATGTCAGCTCATGATGAAATCCTGAATAACAATGTTATGTTGGTGAAAATCTCGACTTGTCCTACATGACTGTGGAGATGACGGAAAAAAATGAGGACAGATATAGTGTGCATCTTGGTTGGATAGTTGCTAATTACTTTCAAAATGTAATAATAATTTGTTTGAGTCGGTGGTTCAGTCGTAGAATGCTCACCAATGACGCCTCTTGTGGTGGTTGGGGGGGGGGGGTTCAATCCTTGGTTGGCGCACTCCTAAACTTCGCTAAGCCAGCCAGTAGTAAGGCCAAAAAAAGGAGCGGAGGTTTAGCGTGCGCCTGGCAACCCCATCCCGAAACTTAAAAACTCTGTAGCTTGAAGCCTTTATGTCGCACTTGGCACTAGCCAGGTGTCATGCTCACTCAGTAAGTAATTTGTCCTCACACTGTCGACCTGTTCTACGCCACTGGTCATGACTAGGACGGGACAGCTGTCCAGTACAGTTTCCAACTGGTTTCAAAATGGTTGTGTAAATGATGTTACCTCATGATAAGATCGTGTAACCAACCAAATCCTCGCTAACCAACACTTGATTAAAGTTGATTTGTTTCATTAAAATGCACACATTTTGTCTGTCTATTTATCTAGAGAGGCAAATGCAGCTCTTAAACAAGCTGCTACAACTTCAGGAGAAAATGAAACTGAAATTAATGCAAATGACGAAAATAATAATTCTGATTTAAGTTTTCTACGGAAAAGAAAAAGTGATATGAAAGCATTCAATCAAGAGGAAAATAAAAAACGTCGTTATGTGAGTTCAATGTGTTGTTTTTGTATACTTTTTTTCAGAATTCCTTTACTTTCCCAGTGGTACATAGGGCTTTAAGCTAGAGCTTAAAAACTTCGGTAGGCGCGGTATTTATTTATTTATTTACTTTTACGGGATGCGGTTGCTAGACTCATGTCTAACCTCTTCCCTCTGTACCAGTCTTATTATTGGTTTGACGAGATAAAGGAGTGCCTTGGCTAGGGAACGAACCCTGAACCACCTGAGTCTTTGGCGAGAATTGGATAAGGCTGTGGCAAAACCATGCATGAGATCGCCGCGCCTGGTCAGCGATGATTCGAGATGTTCATGAAGCCGGCTCATCCTCCGTAGGAGATAGCCGAAGTAAAATAAGTAAGTAAGTGCCACCGACTCACTGTTTTTGCATGATTGGTACTTTTTTTCTTTTTGATGATGCATCATAGCACTGTGTGAGGCAGCTTACTAGTGTGTGTGTGTGTGTTTACTTTTGCAACTTACTGCCATATCTTTGTCTAGTCAGTCAGTCGTTTCAACTACAGTTGATGATGTCAATCCAATCCAGAAAGGATTAAGTAAGCGAGAAAAACCTTCACTACTTTTGAAGTCAGTGCGAAAATCTGCTTCATTCAGCATATTCAAGAAGATCTGAATTTCCAACATTAATATATTCCAGTCATTTCTTCTATGTTATGCCGAGATTTGCTATGCGTATCACGAAAAGGATTTATGGTGCTACTCTAGTTCGTTCAACTAAATTACCCAAGTGGTTTGAACTATGATTCTGTGGCATGTGCTACTGATAAGATTTATAAGTAGTAAATGTAAAAAGAGATTTTCATCGCCATGATAATATTACACATAGCTGGGAAATAGATTTAATATCAGAGAAAGCAAACGATACAGCGTTACGAATATACGTTGGGAGACATGAAAGGAATACAAAGAAACATAATATAAAGAGCGATAGTGACAAAAAAACTCAAAAGATACGTGCAAGTGTTACGGTGAAGAGAAGGTGTACATAATTTAGCTATACGGGGAGATACCAAACTGTAAATAAACATTCCTTGCCAAGTATATATGTGTTACAATGTTACACAAACTTGAAGACTTGCAAGCGGAAACCAACAAACTGTGTGAAGAAGTGTGTGTGCAGGTGAACGCAGAGAGAAGACAGATGTTATGATGGTAACCAACCAACTGCAACACTTATCTGGGCAGCAAGCATCGTTTCAACTACAGGCTAGCGTGGTGGATGACGATGTTAAAGCAAGGTCAATCAGAATCGAAAAGGTGAGATGAGATACACCTTCATCAAAACCTGAAACCAGTTTGGAAATCTTCCACTTCACTCAGTCAGCATAAAGAACAAGATTCGCATTTTCAACACCAATATGAAGTCGGTCAGTTCTTCTATACGGATCAGATACTTGCACTGCCTGTGTGTGTGTGTGTGTCTGTCACGTAAAGGATATCCAACAGGTTGCAAAGTTGCATGAACACATCTGTCTTCGCTCCATACTGAAGATCACATGACCAGCCAGGAGGCATTAAAATAACCATCTCTGGGAAGAAATCAACCAATAGCTAACTGGTGGTGGTTGCTCAACAGAAATATGTAGAAAATGAAGATGGGTCGGCGGGCATACATTGAGTAAACTGTTGAATGATATCGCGCTTAAATGTAGGCCATTATTTTTGAGTGTAATCCGAATGGGAAGTGGTGAGTGTGTGTCGTTGTTCTGTACTCGTCGAGTAGTTAATTTCAATAAAGAAAAAAAATCCCCATTTAGACATTTCGAAAAGAGAAAGATTGAGCGAGCGAAGAAATATTTACTTTTTCAATTAGATCCCCCCTCATCTCACTCTGGCTCTACTCTAATATATTCTGTATAGGATTTTTATTACAACAGTTTGCAAATCATTAAGTGGCACTGATATGTTTGTTAACAATAATTAAACAGTGTCAATGGGTTAATAACAATTAACGAAGAAAATCAATACAGACAATTAAAAGGTAGAAATGGATAGAATAAGTTAATTTTACAAGGATAACACGTAAATTAAGGATGAAGTGGTCAAAATAAATAAAATAAATAATTTAGACAATTATAATTTTTATTAGGTTTAGGGGGAGGTGGGCGACGCAGTCCTGTTTATCCATTCTTGTGACGATGGCCGCCACGGTAGGGAAAATGGCTGTACAAATTTTTTCTGTACACACATAGGCTTGGCTTCTTCAGGTGAATGCCAATCGCCTGAGCCGTCTGTAGAAGACGAAGTCGCAGAGCAAAATTAAGATAAGTCGGAATGCGATAAATAATTTTAAATGATGTATTCACATCAATCTTATGGTCAGTATCAACGAGGTGGGCTAAAATAGAGCTAGCTACGAATAGATCTTTTTTGTCCCTTACTTAACCACGTTGGATGATGTTGGGAAATACGACAATGAACTTGTCTAATTGTACGCCCCCCGATGTAGCTGGCTGGCTCCGCAGCCGTAGTCAAACTGGTAGATACACATAGAGGAGGCGGCGAATTTAGGTAGTTTATCCTTATTTCTCGAACATAAAATAGGTGTGATTGTAAAGAGACAACGTACCGCCTCTGCTGCATAATAAGTTCTTTTAACTGCATTCTTCAGGTGCTCGCTGTGTTATTAATTCGCTGATGTTGTCACCGAGGAACTGGAATTTTATGAACATTGGACTGTGGCCATACTGACTCTCGTTGGAGCTGAATTTATATTTTTCTCGATGAATTTATCTGGATAGCCATTTCTTTTTCTAAGTAATTCTCTAATAATCTTAAGCTCCTCATTGAGACAGTCGTCTGAACAGATTAACCTTGCTCTATGAGCCAGACACTTCACGAGGTTACGTTTATATATATCAATGGTACAAAACTCAGAAAACGAGTGTACTGACCTGTTGTTGTTGTTGTAGGAGGCTTCCTATACACACTTCTTCTTAGCGTGCTGCCATCTTCTTTCCTTACCATGAAGACGTCTAGGAATTAATTGTTTTATTGTAGTAGTTAATTGTCCTGACGCAAAAAGGTGAAAAATCAGAAGACCACCACCTCATTCCCGATGATACTTGTATTTTCCAAATAAGAATTCAAAAGAAAAAATGACTGTCACACAAGGGTGTGAGAGTGAAAGGATACGTAGTGTACGAAATGTGTGAACAAGTGTATATATGTGAAAGTGTACAAAGCAAGAGTATAATATATGAAATGATTAATCTACATGAACCAATAAGATAGCAGTTTTTTGCTTACCATCATTGGATTCTGATTGGTTGTGTAGTGTCATGTGATAACAAGGTCATACATTGTTTATTTAGTTAGTGGACAATCAAAAGCATATTGTCAATTATAATGAAATATCGATGCATATACACATAGCAAAGCATATCAGACTGTCAAAACCAAAACAGACATCGTGTGACTCTACATATCACAGTCGTTCTAGGGTGACATGAAATAGATTGTGAGAAGAGATGGGAGAATAGGGTCACTTGTTCACCCAGCTGTAAAGAGGACGACAAAAAAACAGAACAAAATGGAGATGTGTTGTTGAAGCCCCATGCTGCACTCGGCGGAACGCAAGGGAGTAACCACAATGATAATAATAATAATAATAAAAACTTATATTTACGTGCATAGATTTAAATTATCTGCGTTGTTTTTCGTTTTTATTTTTAATTAATGGTGGCACAGTGGTTAGGACTCTCGCCGACCATGCCTCACATGGTCCGGGGTTCAAGCCCACGCCGACGCACACCTGATATATCTATGGTCGGCCTGCGAATTTTGGGCTACTGATATCCACGCTGAAAATTCCACACTTGTCCCAAAAATACGGTGTGGAATCAAGCTGTAATCAAAAAATAAATCAAAAAATTAAAATAAAATAAATTTAACTCTTCCAGTTTCTATTTTCTTTTATTTTTTTTCATTCATTCGTTTTACCTCACTCTCAGGATTTAGACAAAATTGTTTTCACAGATCAGTCAAATAAAGAAGCTGAAGAATTTCTACGTGATTATATTTTAAATAAACGTTGGCGTGAACCAACCAAGAATTCACTGCCCACATATTCTGATATTCTGCGTAAATCTGGTATAAACCCTGATGATGATGACCATGGTGATAAACCGAAAAATTTCCTCAATGATGATGATATCTTAGATGAAGATGATGAATTTTTAATAAAAGTCAATAATTTAGAACAACAGCGTTTACAGTCCTTGGGTGTAAATGTGAGTTGTATATTCATGAATGATAGTAATAATAACAATAGGAATTGTTATACAATTGGTGGATGGTGGTGGCTAGCAGTGGAATCCAGGATAAAGCGCATTTCGTCCCACTGGATGTACCTGTCCCAAATACGACGAAATGCGCTTTATCCTGGATTCCACTGCTAGCCACCAACATCCACCAATTGTATACTAATTAAATGCCTAGACATTGTCGAAGCATCTGCACAAGAAGCCAACAGACATGTCAACCTGAAACCGAGCACTTCGGTCCAATCAATTGACGGGAAAATCAAAAATTCAATTCAATAATAGGAATTGTTATTTATGAATTTATTTATTTATTTCTCGATGCCTTTTTAGCACTAGAATTTTTTGGGAAGCTTTAGAATCAGCATCTGCTTTTCTACTGGTAATATTAAACGCGTCATAATTTCCACATCATAATATCTTTAATAGGATTGAATAACATTAGGGGAGGCGTACTTTAAACTTGGGCTACTGAAACAAACCTCCATCAATATATATATATATATATATATATATATATATATATATATATATATATATCTGTCTGCCTGTTTTCGACATAGAACTTTTCACAAAATGTGCACCAGTTCAAGTCACCACACTCCCTCCATGTACCACCACACAAAGCAACAGAAGACAGTTCAAGAAAGGCATAATAGAGACAGTAAGCAGAGGTGTAAGACAAAGGAGGAGTAATAACGAAGAACAAAACAGTTTCATTGGAAATCATAAGTCACAAGTAGTGGATGCATCTGCACCAGCCAGCCATTGAGAACGATTTTGAGCCATTTCACCACCAATTGCTTCCAACCATTTGTTTTTACCGTCCCGAGGACCCCAACCAGGAAACCAGTCTACAGCTTCCTACATGGCTTAGATCAACTGTTGTGGATTTCATTGACTGGTGAGGCCAAGTTTTGTTTTGACCTCCGCTAGCTTTTTTCCAGCCTGACCCTGTATCCGCTAACATTGCTCGTCGAGGAAGGGGATGATTTGGCATCCGTGACACATGTCCATATATACATTTTATATAATTTGCCTTATTCACCTTGTTTAAATCTAGTCAAATGTGACCTACAATAAATAGTAGCGTTCACTTCGGCAAGTATTTAAAATATTTACATACTGCTGATTCGCGAGTTTCTACTATACAAGAAAAGAAGCATTATCCAACTCTATGGATGACAGCTTACTCCAAGATTTCAGATGACTGTTCCTCAGTGTTGTCCCTCGTTCACAAAATGTTCTCCTGAATATTTTGATAATTGGCGTTCAACAAAATGTCGTTGTGTATTACTCGAAGGAGAGATAATAAGAGATATCATCATCATCATGAATTGATTTGCGTTTCAGGTAAGATAGATGCAACACTGTATCACACGATGGTGATGCAATAAACTCTGGTGAAAATTCTGTACGCTGTATAAACATTATTTCGGAATAAAGCCATTTCCATTATTAGTAAACAATAGTTTATAAGTTTCAAGTTTTTGATGCCTCAAAATTACGCGTTTCGAGATTAAAATCCGCTGCATTTTTTTGTCGGAAACGTGAGATATGTTCATGTCACAAGATGTGCTCTACATTTCTTAACCATCGCCTGACTCAATGAGCAATGTGAACTGATGTAGACTTAGAGGTAGTCAAACTAATCTGTAGCAACAGTCCATGTGAGGTCTTCGATAGTTCGTTTCAGTTACATAGAGTGGCATAGACTATCTGGTTGAGATACGATGTACTCCTTTTAGGTGAAGATGCTGACAAAGTGTAGAGTCTTCTGAACACTTTGAGGGGCAGCACTCTTCGAATGTTAGGCATGGGAACGATTCGCTCCCGCCAAATGTAAGGTGATGATACAGGACTGGACTACATTGACTACTAGCTTAGAAATAGGAAGTAAAGTCGTAGAGCACGTTGACCGCTTCAATTATTTGGCCCCAGCGGGTTGATCACTGATGAAATCTCAGCACATGGATACAGAAGGCTCGTTTCACATACGTCAATTTACGCCATCTCTGGCATAGACGTGAAATCCGGCTGTCTGTCGATCAAAGGACCTATGTATTGCTCAGCAGTCCGCTCCGCCCTTCTTTATGGCTATCTGTGAGACCTAACCATTGAGAGTGGCAGACATGAAAAGGCTAGCCGGAGTACTATCTCCCATCTGAAGTGGTATAATAGGGTGAGCAATATTGAGTTTAGGCATCGGTCGAGTGCTAGGTAGGTGGGAGGGGAAATCACTAGATGACACAGTGGAGTTACATCGACTGAGATGGTTAGGCCATGTGTTACACATGCGCCTTCCCATCGCCTTTCTCGACTGGCAATGTTAGCTGACATAGAATCAAACTGTAAAAAGAACCAGTGGTGTTCAAACGAGAGAATGGTTACACCAGTCAATGAAATCCACAGCAGTAAGTTTGAGCCAACCATGTAGGGAGGTGTAGACTTCCAGGTTGGGATCCTCGGGATGGTAAACACCCGTAGAGGCTGGAGACAATTGGTGATATGGCTCAAAATCGTTCTCAATGGTTGGCTGGCGCAGATGTATCCACTCCTTGTGACTGATAATACCCAATAAAACTATATTGTTCTTCAATATTACTATTCTTTTCACCTCATATGTCGGTTTACTGTACGTGTTTTGAACCTCGTTTTACTTTCTTTTCTTGCTTTGCGTGCTACAAGGAGGGAATGTGGCGATTCAAAATGTTGCATATCTATGCAAAGTTCTATGTTGGAACCAGTCAGTCAATCAGTTTGATTGAGGTCTTCAGAATGCTAAGAATCAATATTTGGAGACTATTAGGGGTGATATGGTATCAAAATTATTCTGCATTCATTCACTCTTTGTGATTTAACCCCCACCCCACCCCACCCGTATCCATTAACTCTTCTCATGTTTTTCCCGCGTTACATTTCTGTTTGTTATTCTTCTTTTGAAGTTTTTTTTGCATTGTTCTTCCTTGATGTGCTGCATGGAATGTTGTGCCAAGTTTTGAAGTGCTTCACTTCTTCTTTTTCTTCTTCCTATGTACAAAGAGTTCTATGTTAAAAGTTAGTCAATTAATCAGATGTACATATTGAAATAATAGAGAAGATTTATGAAACAGGAGGAATAGATAACCGGTGCCTTCTGACAGTTAATTTATATTCTTGGATTCGGATTTGAGTCCGTTTCTTCCACTCGAAGTCTAGCTCATCTTGGAGTTACCTTCATTTCAGATTTGGTTCAATAAGTGATTCAACTCACTTCAAATTACCTGATGTTTCTTCTTCTTCTTATTATTGTATCCTTTAGTTCCTAGAGGAACATAGGGCTTCAGCCGCCTACGTCTCCATTGCCTTCTGTTTTCTGCCAACTTTTCCACCCCGCTCCACGTCTGTCCACATGCTTTCATCTCCTCCCGTCCACATGACCTCCTCCAAGTCACCCACCCTTGCACTGACGACCAACTCGCCACTCGCTTCCCTTTCGGCCGGGTTCCACTCGAGCAATGGCTTGTCTAGTGATGCCAGTCACTTGATGGTTAGATTTCTCAGAGTATGGCCAGCCAATCCATCTCCATTTCTTCCTGCCTATTTGTTTCACAATCGGTTCCTGCTGTGTTGGTTCGCTCATTGCCAGAGATCCCTCCCTGTTGCTGATATTTTCTGGCCAGCCGGCTGGCCGGCCATCTGATCTTGAGTATTGAGCGAAGGCAGCTGTTGATGAAGGTCTGTAGTTTGTTTGAGGTGCTCTTTATGATGCGCCAAGCCTCTGATCCGTATAGTGAGTAGCACTGACTGACTTCACATTGGAGTTGAAAATCCGGATCTTATTTTTGATGGTGAGTGATGTTGACCTCCACACAGATTTGAGAGTAATGAAAGCTTGTCTTGCTTTTCCGATTCTGGCTGCTTTGATATCCTCGTCAGTTCCGTCAGCCTGTAGTTGAGACGATGCTTCCCAGGTAGGTGAAGGAGGTTGTTTCTTTCAGGTTCTTCCCACTTATGCTGATTGTTGTCTGTTGTTGTTGTTGCTGTTGATATTGGCCAGGAATCTTCGTCACCTCTGTTTTATCTATGTTTACTTGAAGTCCTATCTTCTCTGGATGCTTGTTCTGCCAACTTGTTGCTTTTCACTTGCATATCTTCCAGTTTGTGGGAAATCAGACATATATCATCGGCGAAGTCCAGATCCTCCAAGTCTTTTGTGTGAGTCCATTTTATGCCTGTTTCCTCATTGCCCGTTGTCTGTCGCATTATCCAATCTACTGCAATCAGGAAGATCATTGGTGATAGTAGACAGCCTTGTCTTACTCCCATTCTCACTTCGAGGCATTCCGTAAGTTTTCCGTTGTGGATTACTTGGGATGCAGCATTGTCGTATAACTGTTGGATGAGATGTATAATTGTCGATGGGACCCCTTGGTAGTAGCGAAGTAGTTGCCAAATCCTCTCTCGATCGACGCTGTCGAAGGCCTTTTGAAATTCAATGAAGTCGAGATAGAGAGGTGACTGCCATTCCAAGCTATTTGAAACGAACTGGCGATTTTTCTTTAAGAAAAATCAAATTCGTCATTTGCAAACTAAACAGACTGGGAAATGATTATGTGCAGGATTATGCACACTTTATACTTTTTGCGAAGCTCTTTATTTTCCAAGTGTTCTAGTGCCTTACTTGTGAATAGGTTCATACAGCTGGAGAAATTCTCAGGCCACAGCAAATATTGATTCTTTTAGTATATTGTCTTAATGTATATTTTTGCTGTCAACCTCTTTTATCATATAGAGTTGCCTTCAAACCATAATAATAATAATAGTAATAGCTTTATTCCAAAAACAGTACTAATGATACAGCAAGGGACTTTCAGCATTCAGTACAATACTGCATCTAATTTACTCAAAACGACACAACAAAAAATTACAAATACACATTACATAATAATAAAACGATTGTTACAGCAGCTATATAGCAAAATACTGTATGCCATACGGAGAAAAATATGCATAAAGTATAAAATTGTAGTAATAATAGTAATACCAACTAAAATAAAATAGCAGAGTAATAATTAAACGACAGAAAGTGTGACACCATAAAATACAGAAAGATGAACGAACGATGAAAGGGTCGATTCACTGTGCTAATTACATAGTAACTTGTAAGTTTCACGTCTAACAGAGTCTTTGTCACATAAAGTACGGGCTAAATAGGGTATTGTAGAATTTCTATACTTAGTGGTACGAGCATATAACTTTTTATATTGACTTCTCGTCCTACCTGATGAGATACAGGGGGATAGGTGTGAATAAAGGCGGGGGGTGCAGAGGGTCTGACAGTATAGCCTTTGCCCATTTCGTACAGGAATTTATATGCCTCTCGACTATAGTATTGGCGAGCTCATTCAGTGGTAGACCGCAAGTACTACTCACAGCATTTAATACTCTTCGTAATATGACATAATCTTTTTTGAGAAGCCCAGAAAAGATAAATGAGAGCAATAGAGTAGGTACAATAGGTAAAATACAGGAGTTTAAAAATTGCAAAACTAAAGGTTGGTTGATACCTGATTGTCTTAACTTTTTTTTAATGTAGAAGGTAAGACGAAACATTTTCTTAGAGATAGATAAGATGTGGGAGACCATGAAAGGTCAGAGAGGAAAGAACTAATCCAAGGTATTTAATGCTGCTTGACTTGAATATGCCTGTTAGCATATATGTAAATTGTTTTTCAACTATTTTATTGCTTTTGGTGCTCCCATTTCAACCTTTATTCTCCGAATGCCTTTTTTTTCACACACACACACCCCCGCCTCCGCTTTCTATAGACGACGAGTGTTACTCAAATCCACAAAACTCAGCATCGATTTGAAGAGGAAGATAAAGAATTCGTAAGTTGATCGGTTTATATTGATTTTCAAGTATTGGTTGATTGATTGATTATTATATTGATTTATATTATATATTATTATATTGATTTGATTACTTATTATTATTATTATGTCCACCTACGTATTTTTTTATTTCTGACTTATTGAGAATTGACGAAGAACTTGACTGAAGGGGCAGCAAAGATCTCCTGAAGTGTCCTAGACTTGATCCCTGATGTGGTCACACGAGTACTACCGTTGATATTGAGTTTGAATAGCTCAGTGACAACATCTCAAACTGCAACACTGGATGATAATCCCGGGTTCGAATCTCGGAAGGAACTCAAGTTCAGCAGCCACATACGTCGTTCGTGGCTCGATCCCCAGTCGACGCACCCCTCTAAACCTTACTTAACCGGTAGTAAGCCCAAAAAGAGGGACGGATGGATGTATGGGTGGCAATGTCTTCCCGTAAAAATTAAACACCACCACCACTACTGAAACTTCGAAGCTCAAACTTGAAGCCCTACGTGTTCCGCTGGGAACCCAAAGGAATGAAATTGAAGGCATAAACATTTTTCATCGTATTCTATGTTTTACTGCCTCATCATATGTTGTTCTGGAGTGATTTTAATTTCTTTGTTGAAATTGAATGCCATTCGGTTCTATCGAATGGTGATGAAAATCACTATGTATAGCGGTAATCGAGTTTGAGAAATATTTACGCAGTTATACGAGCTAGTGCCTGTTTAAAGTGACGCCGGACTCGGTTGTCAACTGCTCAAACTTGTCGTCTCTTATCAAAAACCTCTAGTTACTACAGTCTCAGATGAAAACCTACTACTGATGTTAACAGTAAATTTAGATTATCGTCATAATTAGTTGGTAGAGAAGTTAAAATTCATGGATCACTGGATTCCATTCCAGCGGCTGAATAGCCAACGAGCTCGCCTCGTCCTGGTATCGATCCCCCGTGGGGTCATGGATGCGCCTTGTTGAAGAGAGTCTGGGACTGGGATGAAACAACCCTTCAATACTCTCTCTGTCTCTCTCTCTGGTTCACAGTAATTCTCTAAGTAATATCGATTTGCCAACAAACTTAAAGTCAGTCAACACTTGAAAACTAATTTTGATTGGTTTCTCTGTCCTAATCACTTGATCGCTAATCTCAGTACGAATAAAGAAGGCTCGTTTGGCGTTTACCAACCAACCTACGCCGCCTTCGGTTTACTAGACGTCATATCCGACTGGCTGTCGATCGATCGAAGGACACGTTGTTCTGTCTTCCTTTATGACTGTGAGGAGACATGGCCATTGAAAGTGAAAGATATGAGAAAAGGCCGGTTAGCTGTCTTCGACCATGATAAGATGTCTGTGTTCCGCGTCTACATCCCGTGTTAGATGGTGGTAGGTGTAATAGGGTGAGTAATATTCAGTCAGTGAGGCATCTCAGTCGTGTGCTAGCTAAGCAAGGAGGGTTGTGGATCACTTACATCACACTATTACCCATAGCCCTCTTCGACGAGCAATCTTAGCTGACATAGGATCACGCTGGAAAAGAACTAGCATGTGGGCTCGTCAAACAAAAACATGGCTTCATCAATCAATTAATCAATCAATCAATCAAATCCATAGTAACAGTTATAGTTTAAGCCACGTCGGTAGGTGTCGACTATCTGGTTTAGAGTCCTTTGGACGGTAGAGGCCAACGAAGACTTGAAACAATTCGTGATATGGTTGACTCAAAATCCTCGTTGTCGGCGCAGATGGGATTTACTCTTTCTGAATGGTCATATCCAATAAAAACCCAATTCTTCTCCCACCATGTTACTATTCTTTTCGCCTCATATTTCTGTTAAATCTCTCTCTCTCTTTTTTTAATCTCGCTTTGTGTGCTTCATGGAAGGAGGGAGTGTGGCGACTCGAACTGCTGGATTTCTGTGTAAAGTTCTATGTTGAAACCAGTCGTTCAACCAGTCACCTTCCTTATATATACGTATGTATGTGTAATGCTTCAAGTTTGCCATTGGCTGAATACACTTCGCCTTATTTTCTTTTACGTCTCTTGAATGACATCACCAGTGTTATAGGTGGTTGTATTACACACAGACTGACTGTAGTTACTTGTTGCTTTAGTCTTGCAGTAGTGCTGTTTATAAGAAGAACCCCATGTTTATGTAGCCCTTTATCTAGCTGAATATATACGCATAGGGGACAGATAAACACATGATTCTATGTTCGTTCATACCCATCCCCACCCCCACCCCTCCACCCGCTGCATATTTTAAATATTTCGTCAGACTAGTCTTGGGACTCTTCTTCATCAGTACGCACCCACCGGGATTTGAACTGTTTACTGATTGAAGAGTTTTCAAGTATTGGTTTTTTTAGGGATTTTGTTTGATTGCATGGAGGATTTAATCATTTAAATCAATCTGATGCTCACTAGTGACTGGCCCTGTTCAGGCAGTTAACCTGGGGTTCTAGTGAGAATCCGTGACCAGTAGGGTACAGCAGGTTGAAGATGAGGCCAGTAACTCACTCATCGAAGAAGACATTGCGAAGTGGTCGCGCTATGTCGTGTGTGAATTGGCAGAAGTTAGAATTCAAGGACCATTGGATCGGTTCCCAGTGAGTAGTGGCTTAATGGTATACGAGCTCGCTGGCCTTGTAACCTGAAGGTCCTGGGTTCGAACCCCGTGGTGTGGGTGCGTACTGCTGAAGAATTAGTCCCAAACTAGGCTGACGAAACAGCTGTCCAGTACTCCCTGGTTGGTTTTCCAATGGTTCTCTAACTAAAGTCAGCTAATGATTAAATCCTCCATGATTGAAGAGTCTCAAACTAGGGGACACGAAACAGCTGGCGGCTGTCCAACACTTGAATATATTTTAAATGTGTTAATTACTTCTCCTTTTTCTGTTTTTCTTTTTTTTTTTTTTAGATAAAAACATATCCCCGATATATTGAAAGCAGTATTGGTCAAACATTGAGCAGTGTGAAATCGAAAAGAGCTGAACAACGCAAAGCTAAAGCTGAACGTAAACGTAAAGAGAAAGAGGCGAAATTTCAAGAGTTAACTCGTCTACGTAATTTAAAATTGAGTATGTTAGCTGAAAAAATTGAACGTATTCAACGTACCTGTGGGTTAAACTCTTTACCCTTTAATACAAATGAATTAATTGCTATGCAAACACCACCACAACCAACAACAACAACACCTGATAATGTTGACAACGATGATGATAAGTTGAAGTCTTCTACGCATCAAATTAAAAAATCCAACAAAATGATAAATATTTTAGATGTTGCTGAATATTTAGACGAAGATTGGAATCCTGAAAAGCATGAGAAATTGTTAAATTCAATATTTGGAAAGGAATATGAAGAAATTGATGAAGATATCAGAAAACCAGAATTTTCAGATGGTAGTGATCTAGAACTCGATGATATCATACCTGATGTAAAGAAGAAGAAGAAGAATGAATCGTGTCGAAAAGTATGAATAACTTTTTTTTATTTGTCCTTTTAATCCTTATCCTGTGTGTGTGTACTCTTTGTATTTTTATCTTATGGTTCTGGTAACAGTAAAGAGTAGATACGAAGGTCAAATGAGATGACCTTGAACCGACCAATCAGATTCTTCTAGGTGAATAATAATAATAATAAATAATAATTTTTCCTTCACGTTCCCCTCCCCCCCAGTGGAACATAGGGCACCTTCAAGCTGGTGGCTTGAAGTTTCTGTAGCAGTGTTTTTTTTTACAGGATGGGGTTGCTAGCCAGCCTCATGCCCAACATTTCCCCTTTACCAGCATTATTTCTGGCTTAACGAGGTAAAGGAGTGCGTCGGTGGCCGGGGATCGAACCCCGGATCATGTGCATGGTTGGCGAGCGTCCTAACCGCTATACCACCGATGCCTTCTAGGTGAAAAGTGGCATTTATTGTATGAAACAGTATATATATATATATATATATATATATATATATATATATATATATCACATCATATCAGGAACGATTTACCATTCTAATATGTTTGTTTCCAGATGGGGATCCAGAATCCTTCAATAGAATTTGTATAAGTTACACTGATAAGATCGATTAATTCAGACGAATGATTCACTTGATTGATGAATATAGCCTTAATGGTGATAGTTGCGAATAACATCTCTCCGCTCGTTGTCTGTCTGTGTGTGTGTGTGTGTGAATGGTAGTTAGCGCGTGTGAGGACTCTAGTCATTGTATTATTGCTATTGAAACATTGTCACTTCTGTTTTGGTAAAGGGTGCATTCCACTTCTAAATCACCTTTAGTAGATTTGTATCATACAGTCCCAGTATCCAAATGTGGTTTGTTCTTCTCCTACTGCATTGTCAGTGTGTACGACGACACCAATTCCTCCAAATACGTACACAAATAATTCTATTGATCTTTTGTAAGACAGTAGTATCCTGACACCCTTGGTAGCGCTGCACCATTGACATTTTAGTATATTCTTTGTTTGTTTCCGCATCTGTGGACAGATATTAGTCGTTTCAGGGGCCAATTGTGGCATATATATACCTCTCAGTATTCGTGTAAGGCAGAGTTCCAATGTCAAGAAGAAAGTATCTGAAAAATCACTATTAATGTACAACTCACCGACAACTCTTACAGACTTCCTGATACAATAAAGTGATTGCATTTGATGAATGCATAACCAAACACCGATAGTCTGGCAATAGTTCTGAGGAGTCATTATTGCTCCACGGAATATGCATGTTTTTAGTCCTCCCTATTGAGAGGGTTTCGCGTGCGTTTTGGATTGTTACTTCCGATTGTTACTTCCCGGCTACCCACACCGTGGAAGTTGGTTGCGTGACCACAGAGCCCAGGGGACGACTGCTTGAGTCAGGCCAGTCACACGCGGCCTGTTTTGTTTGTTCTTTATTGTTTTGTGTGTCTCAGTAGCATATTTATCACTCCTGCCCTGTGACACGGCAGCAGGAAGCGTCGTCGTTGTTAATCCGGCCGATCCGGTATGAAATTTTGTGGTTTTCTATGTATCATTATGTTGGATTGGGTAGCTGCTTTTTGTCTAACCGTTATCCAAACAACCTTTTTGGCATGGCAGGACCTCAAGAGACATAAGTCTCAGCCAGTATAGCTTGAATAGGTCATTATGGTGTTCAAGCCGACTACCACGTCAAAGTAGCAGCTTTCGGTCGGGCTGGAAAAAAGCCAGTGGTGGTCAAACAAAAACTTGGCACCAGTCAATGAAATCCACAACAGTTAGTCTTAGCCACGTAGGAAGGTGTACACTTCCAGACTGGGGTCCTCGGGACGGTAAAAATCTATGGTTGGAAACAATTGGTGACATGGCTCAAACTCATCGTTCTCAATGGCTGGCTGGCGCAGATGCATCCACTCCTTGTGACTTATGATTTCCAATGAAACTGTTTTGTTCTTCGTTATTACTCTTCCTTTGTCTCACACCTCTGCTTATTGTTTCTACTATGCTTTTCTTGTACTTTCTTCTGTTGCTTTGTGTGTGGTACATGGAGGGAGTGTGGCGACTTGAAGTTCCGCACATTTGTGGAAAGTTCTATGTCGAAAACAGACAGACAGATAGACAGTCCTCCCTATCATCTACCCATTTTCCACGCAGAAGTCAAAAATCAGATCTAGGTGGAACTTACAACGAAGAATATCAAGAAAAGCATCCATTTGTAAACCTGAGGAGTCTAATTTGTTGATTCTGTCTGTCTGTCTGTTTTCGACATAGAACTTTGCACAAATGTGCGGAAGTTCAAGTCGCCACATTCCGTGTAGCACGCGAAGCAAGAGAAGAAAGTACAAGAAAAGCATAATAGAAACAGTGAGCAGAGGTGTGAGACAAAGGAGTAATAAAGAAATACAAAACAGTTTCATTGAAGATCATAAGTCACAGGGAGTGGATGCATCTGCGCCACTGAGAACGATTTTGAGCCATGTCACCAATTGTTTCCAACCATAGATTTTTACCGTCCCGAGGACTCCAGCCTGGAAGTCTACATCTTTCTACGTGGCTTAGACCAACTGTTGTGGATTTCATCGACTGATGCCAAGTTTTTGTTTGACCGCCGCTAGCTTTTTTCCAGCCTGACCCTATATCCGCTAACATTGCCCTGTGTCGAGGGAGGCGATGGCTTGGCATACGTAACACATGTCCTAACCATCTCAGTCTTTGTAGCTTCACGACTTCGTCGATTGATTTCCCCTGCTTACCTAGAACTCTACGCCTAACCTCCATGTTGCTCACCTTATTATGCCACTTTACACGGGAAATAGAACGCAGGCACCTATGATCAAAGACAGCTAGTCTTTTCATGTCTTCCACTCTCAGTGGCCAGGTATCACGACCATAAAGGAGGACAGAGCGGACTGATGAGCAGTACACCCGCCCTTTGGTCGATAGTCGAACGTCTCGTCTACGCCAGAGTCGCCAGAGTCATGATTCAAGGTCATTTGATCTTGGAACCCAATATTTTACTGTTACCAAATTATATTTTTTAATATCTCTTTACTGCATCGATGATACAATGGTGGTAAAATGTTTATTAAAGTCATCATAAGTAGACTGGGTTCAACTCCCAGCCGATGAACTCCTAAACCCCCTCACCCTGCTTATTACTACCTGGGGGATAGTAAATCAGGCATAGAGGGGGAAGATCAGGCTCAAAACCAGTAACCTCACCCCACCCCGTAAGAAAAAAATTAACACCAAGTGCTACTGAAACTTCAAAGCCCAAGCTTGAAACCATATGTGTACGCACCAGTCGGAATACAAAAGAATAGGAAAATGGAAATAATAAAACCTGTTTCATGAAATTTAAAAGCCGTCTCTCTTCATTTTTCATCGGATTCTATGAGGAAATGTTTTTCATTTAAACTTTGGTTATGCAGATGAAATCAGAATCAGTGTTGTCTGCATTACACCATTTGATCAACGCAGTAATTAGTCGAGTAGTACAAGGTAGAACTTAATTTACTTTGCTTCGGCTATCTCCTAAGGGAGGATGAGCCGGCTTCATGAACATCTCGATTCATCGCTAACCAGGCGTGGCGATCTGATGCAAGGTTTTCCGACAGGGTTATCCAATTCTTGTTTCGAAGTGAGAGGGCAAAAGCGGATGATCGGCCCTCTTCACCGGGTTGACTGTCTATTGGATGTCAGTCTAGGGGAGATGGCTAAACCCTGCCTGATTCCAAACCTACAACGACTGGTGTATGAAGCTCACCGAAGGTCACCGGTAGGCAGACGTATGGACAAAGGGCTTATTGGATTCCCTCGTGCATGTCTGGCTTCATTCAATAAGGCGTATCAACCGGACTCCGGTGACCGGCTGGCTGACAATGGATAGTCGACTCCCTACCCCACTCCTACTGCCTTCTAGGTCACACTTGGTTGGCTAGAGCTGCACTGTCAAACAAAACAAAAGGCCGAGCGATTCTGGGGACACATCACTCGTACCTAATTCCCATGAAACTTCATGAACTGTCGTCGTTGCTACAGCATCAACCAACATCAACCAGTACTGGTCGAACAACGTGGCCTTCGGTGGTTTGGCCATGTTCTGGGCCGGGCCGACCAGATGACGATCTGGTCGATGAAATCAGTTCTAAATCCCTCCTCGCCATTTCCATCTTGGAGATATGTCGGAGAAGTGGACAGCTGGAAACACATGGCTTGGTACAGTCAGTCAAGGCTGATATGGAGTGACTGGGCTGGGGCTACAAACGTCTACGGACTCCGTCTGTGGAACAAGTATTGGATAAGGCTGTCGGAAAACCTTGCATCAGATGGCCTCGCCTGGTCAGCGATGATTCCAGATGTTCATGAAGCCGGCTCATCCTCCCGTAGGAGATAGCCGAAGTAAAGTAAGTATGTCTGTGTAAAGTTCTATTTTGAAACCAGTCAGTGAGTCACACTGATTGCAGTCGATTTCCCCGCTGATTTTAGATTATTGAAGATGTGTGTGTCTTGCCTTACCGATTGTGACTGGCTTTGAAACTGGCATTTGAAACGACACATTGCATACACTTAATTCCGATATGTATTTTTTTCTAGCGTCGTTTTTTTACCCCAACACGTCTATCTCAGAGGATAGTTTGTTTCACCGGTTAACAAGGTTTCGCATCATCAGACATAAAAGCTATTCTTTGTAGCTGCCTTCTTTATTTATTTGGAATGGACAATTTTATGATCTATATATCTAATCCACCTCCTTTTGGAGTGTGTGGTCTCCTACTATCTTATCATGCTGGTCACCGTCAATCTCGTATTTTATTCAACACAATTTCCCTGAAAAAAATATTCACTGATCAAGTTCAAATTGTATGTACACATTCATGTTTCCATTGCTGTTTTCGTAAAGTCGTCTCCATTCATCATTATCGCTTATTACTTACTTACTTACTTTACTTCGGCTATCTCCTACGGGAGGATGAGCTGGCTTCATGAACATCTCGAATGTTTGTAAGAGAGCTGATGAAGTTTCATGGGAATTAGTTACGAGTGATGTGTCCCCAGAATCGCTCGGCCTTTTGTTTTGTTTGACAGTGCAGCTCTAGCCTTTACACAACCAACCAAGTGTGACCTCCTAGAAGGCAGTAGGAGTGGGGTAGGGAGTCGACTATCCATTGTCAGCCAGCCGGTCACCGGAGTCCGGTTGATACGCCTTATTGAATGAAGCCAGACATGCACGAGGGAATCCAATAAGCCCTTTGTCCATACGTCTGCCTACCGGTGACCTTCGGTGAGCTTCATACACCAGTCGTTGTAGGTTTGGAATCAGGCAGGGTTTAGCCATCTCCCCTAGACTGACATCCAATAGACAGTCAACCCGGTGAAGAGGGCCGGTCATCCGCTTTTGCCCTCTCACTTCGGTGAAAAACACCTCCACCACGTGAAGGCAGTGAGGACTGAGGACCTCCTCAGGAGAGGCTATGTAAGACGCCCAGTCATATGGGAGCATTTCAAGAGGTTTACGGTGGGAGGGGTGTCCAACCCGCAGCGCAAGGCACTCACCCCGACCATCTCTTATTCACTAAGATTCATATTCTATTCATGTTCGTAAATTTCGTCACATCTATTTTGTGTAAAGCGAAGTTCATGTTTGTCTTCTGTTTCGTTGCAGACCACTTTTCCGATTTATTTGTTGGTTTACTTTTTTATCATAATAAACTATTATGTATGTGTTAGGAGTTTATGATTAAACTTTTAACGGCTGTCATTATGTATTTAAATAATAATATTACTTTTTCCTTCACGTTCCAGTGGAACATAGGTCACCTTCAAGCTATTGGCTTGAAGTGTCTGTAGCATTGTTTATTTTACAGGATGGGGTTGCTAGCCAGCCTCATGCCCAACCTTTCCTCTTTAGCAGGATTATTTTTGGCTTAACAAGGTAAAGGAGTGCGTCGGTGGCCGAGGATCGAACCCCGGATCATGTGAATGGTCAGCGTGCGTCCTAACCGCTGTGTCACCGACGCACAGTTACTTACTGAAAATAAAAGTGCGTTGGTGATTCAGCGATAAGAGTGCTCGCCAACCATACACATGGTCGGGGTCTTTGATTCTTGGCCGGCGCACACCTTTACCTCTCTTAGCCGCGTTATACTCCCAACAAATAGGGAAGATTACGCATGAGGCTAGCAACCTCACGCTGTGTAAATAACACCATGGTTACAATGAAACTTTAATGCTCATGCTTAAAGCCCTATGTTCCACTGGCTACCTGGGCAGCCTTTCTACATCAGCTGACTGACTAGCTTCCCAAGGGCTTTCACCAGCCCTTGCGCACTAAAGTTTCTATAGCACTTCGATTGGTTTTGTGGTATACAGCTCTAGCCTCACTCCCAAGCCCCCTTTTTTCTCTCTAGCCGGGCTTGAGACCGGCTATTAAAGTAGGTGAGATTATTATCTTACAGTATCCACGATCTACTCTATCCTGCTATTGTAATCTAATACACATCCTTGTTTTAAAAATTTACCTAGGATCCATCTGATTCGCATGATATGGATATCCAAGAAGAAGGAGAATGTGAAGGCGAAGAATTATCACAGAAGAAACAGTCTAACGGTTATAGTTTATCCAAAACATTATCCGCTATAACAGAAACTAATACTACCCACCAGGTCAATAGTAAATCAAGACGTGGTAAACAGAGACTACATGAAGCCCTGGAGAGAAATAAACCAGTCTTCGATCCAGATAATTATCCAGACTATGAGGTTAGTAATAAAGTCACTAACTTGATCGACGTCTTATTGTTGCTGCTGATGATGTTCAGTTTTATGGTTTATCTACTTACTTACTTTACTTCGGCTATCTCCTACGGGAGGATGAGCCGGCTTCATGAACATCTGGAATCATCGCTGACCAGGCGAGGCCATCTGATGCAAGGTTTTCCGACAGCCTTATCCAATACTTGTTCCACAGACGGAGTCCGTAGACGGTTTGTAGCCCCAGCCCAGTCACTCCATATCAGCCTTGACTGACTGTACCAAGCCATGTGTTTCCAGCTGTCCACTTCTCCGACATATCTCCAAGATGGAAATGGCGAGGAGGGATTTAGAACTGATTTCATTGACCAGATCGTCATCTGGTCGGCCCGGCCCAGAACATGGCCAAACCACCGAAGGCCACGTTGTTCGACCAGTACTGGTTGATGTTGGTTGATGTTGTAGCAACGACGACAGTTCATGAAGTTTCATGGGAATTAGGTACGAGTGATATGTCCCCAGAATCGCTCGGCCTTTTGTTTTGTTTGAGAGTTCAGCTCTAGCCAACCAAGTGTGACCTCCTAGAAGGCAGTAGGAGTGGGGTAGGGAGGAGTTGACTATCCATTGTCAGCCAGCCGGTCACCGGAGTCCGGTTGATACGCCTTATTGAATGAAGCCAGACATGCACGAGGGAATCCAATAAGCCCTTTGTCCATACGTCTGCCTACCGGTGACCTTCGGTGAGCTTCATACACCAGTCGTTGTAGGTTTGGAATCAGGCAGGGTTTAGCCATCTCCCCTAGACTGACATCCAATAGACAGTCAACCCGGTGAAGAGGGCCGGTCATCCGCTTTTGCCCTCTCACTTCGGTGAAAAACACCTCCACCACGTGAAGGCAGTGAGGACTGAGGACCTCCTCAGGAGAGGCTATGTAAGACGCCCAGTCATATGGGAGCATTTCAGGAGGTGTAGGGAGGAGTGGCCAACCTGCAGTGCAAGACACTCACCCCCGACCATCCTGAGGCTTTGGAGGCGCTCACTTTTGATTGACGACTTCTAAACTACCAATGCGGATTGCTCAGAGACGAAAGAAAAAATATTAGCATGGATTTATATTTGTCTATGGTAACTAATTAATGCTTCATTTGGAGAAAACCGTATTGCGTCATGTGATATATACTATAAGTTGTCATTTCACTTGAATATCATGGGTAAAGAGAGAGAAAATATTACACAATAAAAAATGACTCTGAGAATTCTGTTCACAATGTAGCCATCTTATTCAGAATGAAGCTGTGATTTACTATCATTCACCACATAACTGCATTGATTGTAAACAGAGAATCAAGAATCAGTAACACAATTTCCTGGCATTTTCAGATGTTATCAAGTTATATAAAAATATTCACGATCTTGACATAGACGTAACAGAAACATGGTTAGTCTCTCTAACTAGACGAATTTTCGGATAGATAGTCGGATGTGACTGCCTGGTTGGACTTGAATAATCTGATTACAGGGATCCCAGATTGTTGACAATTAAATCAGTCTGTGAAATATTGTAGGTCTAAATCCAATCCATACAACGCTCTGGGGTAAATTTGTTGTGCCAGGTTACTCCTAATTTGGGCTTTACATTCTTGCCAAGATTGAAAATGGTCCATTGAAAAAAGTAATAGAAAAAACTGATTCTTGTTTTCATTATGTTGATGATACGTTTATTATTATTCATGATGTGAAAGCTGACAAGAATGAAATGTTAAAAAAGTTTAAAGATGCACATCCATCGCTCATCTTCACTTGTGAAGAAGAATATGATGGTGGACTACTTTTTCTTGACGTCCAATTGAGCAGAAGAGAGGATGGTTCACTAAAGAGAGGTGTCTATAGAAAACCTACATCTGTAGGACAATATACACATTTCCTCAGTTATGTACCAATCCGTTACAAAATCAATTTGGTCAGATGCCTGACGAATAGAGCAAGACGCATCTGTACAGATGACTCCCTAGAAAATGAGCTAGGATACATCCAAAATACGTTAGTCCAAATGGGTTATCCTAGTAGATTTGTCAGGAGACACATGAATGACAAGTACAATAAAGAAAAACCGACTACAGTTAAAAAGAAACAACTATTCATGAAACTACAATTTAATGGGGACATGGCTAGTGAAGTCTTACATCAGAGATTATCGAGAGCGATAAAACGGACTTATACTGCTGCCACCCTCTGTTTGTCATTTTCCAGCTGGCGACCAATTTTGATTGCTCAAGTGAAAGATAAGCTACCTAGTTGTGCCACTTCCATGTGTATCTACAAATTTAGTTGCTCCTGTGGAGAAAAAGCTAGCTATATAGGCCGAACAACTAGACAGCTTAACAAACGCAATAATGAGCATCTTCCTTCATGGTTCGGAAAAGGTCAAGTAAAATCCATAGGAAGTTCTATTCTGGCTCATTTGATTTAATAGTGTTCACCAAGTGGACAAAAATAGTGCTTTCAAAGTTATTTACCGCATTCCACCAAGTCTTTCGGACGGAATCAGAACCCGTCTTTTACATATAGCCGAAGAAGCTATGGGAATTAATTCGAGAGAACAATCCTAGTCTTTGTATACAATAGAAATTTGTTCTACCTTTGTCTCTTCCTTGGCCTAGGTGAATCTTGTTATCATTATAATCATCGTTAATAACTACGTTCAAAACATTTACCACATTATTATTATTTGATCCACAGAATCACCGTCATTCGTTAAACATTTTTATGTATAAATCTATTTAAGTGTTGGTTTGTAGGGATTTGGTGGGTTTCAGGATTTCATCATGAGCTGACATTAGTTAGAGAACCATTGGAAAACCTGCAGGGAGTACTGGACAGCTGTTTCGTCAGCCTAGTTTGGGACTCTTCGTCAGTACGCACCCACATCACGGGATTCGAACCCAGGTCCTTCTGGTTACAAGGCGAGCTCGTATACCATTCGAATCCCGGTGGGTGCGTACTGACGAAGAGTCCCAAACTAGGCTGACGAAACAGCTGTCCAGTACTCCATGCAGGTTTTCCAATGGTTCTCTAACTAATGTTAGCTCATGATGAAATCCTGTATAAATCTATGTAAATTAGAGTAAGGCCTGATGAAGATCTAATTGAAAAGAATATTGTTCGCTTATATGTCTTATTCATCAAAATGCCTCATAAAGAGGTTCAGTGAAAATACGTTTATCTTGATTCTTCAGTTTTGTTTGGTCAAATCAAAACATGGTATCAGTTGACGAAATCTTTTTTATCAGTTAGTTTGAGTCACACAAAGAGATGTAGGCTACCCGTCGTCTATTTGGGGTCCTCGGGTAGCCTCTGGAGACAATTGGTAATGTAGCTCTTAAAATCCTCCTCCTCAATGGTGCAGATTCATTCATTCACTCTCTGTGATCTGCCATAGTCCCGCTCCCCACCCACCCACCCAAAAAAGAACATCTTGTTGTTTTTCGATGTAACAAATTCTTTCTTCCTCATATTTTGTGCTGAATTATCGTTCTTTCGCATCCTTTTCTTTTACGCTTTTGTCCTCCCTTGTTGTACTTCATGGAATGTGGCAACTTGAAATGCTGTACTTCTTCTTTGTAAAGTTGTTTGTTGAAATCAGCCAGTCAGTTATTTGTACTGTGCGTCGGTGGCACAGTGGTTAGGACTCTCGCCGACCATGCAGATGGTCCGGGGTTCGAGCCCACGCCGACGCACACCTGATATCTATGATTGGCCTGCGAATTTTGGGCTACCGATATCCATGATGAAAATTCCATACTTCTACCAAAATGTACTTTGTGGAATCAAGCTGTAATAAAAAAAAATTAAAATTTTTGTGTATATTTATATATGTATCTTCTAAAATTGTAGAAATACTTTGAAGAGTTTTATCAGTTACATTGTGAAGATATTATACCTGATCCGACTGGTGCTGATGAAGATATCTACTGTCGTTTCAAATATCGTGATGTAGTACCAAATGATTATGGTTTAAGCGCGGAAGAAATTTTGAAAGCTTCCACGAAAGAATTGAATGCATGGGTATCATTGAAACGCGCCACAGCCTATCTGTAAGTGTATAAACATGGTATATAAACATTCCTTTGAGTGTGTGTGTGTGTGTGTGTCTGTTTGTTTATTAGCTTGCCCACCTACCTATTTACCTTTTTAGCTCATCGATCAATATTTTTCGTATTAAAAAAAACTAATTTCCCCTACATTTTTATTCAATTTTTATGAATAATTGGTGGATGGTGGCTAGCAGTGGAATCCAGGATAAAGCGCATTTCGTCCTATTTGGGACTCGTCAGCCACTGGATGTACCTGCATTTCTATCAGTGAGTGATGATGTTCCCACTGAGGCTCGAACCCAGTGCCCATAGTTTCAAACACCAGCCAAAGCGTTATCCACTAGACCACTTGGGCCACGCCACGAGAGCCACCACCTCTTGTCCAACGGGTCATATTAATTATTGAATTGAATTTTTGATTTTCCCGTCGATTGATTGATTGTACCGAAGTGCTCGGTCTCAGGTTGACATGTCGGCTTCTTGTGCAGATGCTTCGACGATGCCTGGGCATTTAATTAGCATACAATTGGTGGATGGTGGCTAGCAGTGGAATCCACCGATGGGTTTGAGTCTCGGTGGGAACATCATCATCACTCACTGAGAAATGCAGGTACATCCAGTGGCTGACGAGTCCCAAATAGGACGAAATGCGCTTTATCCTGGATTCCACTGCTAGCCACCACCATCCACCAATTGTATGCTAATTAAATGCCCAGACATCGTCGTCGAAGCATTTGCACAAGAAGCCGACATGTCAACCTGAGACCGAGCACTTTGGTCCAATCAATCGACGGGAAAATCAAAAATTCAATTCAATTCTATGAATAATATTTAGAAGATTGCTTCAAAAGCATATAAGCTATCGTTACAGAAGTTCTTAGAAGGTGGCAGAAGTTATATGCCGATAAAAAAGGGAACTGATTAGGAAGGGTACTTTTCTTCACAAAGCTGTGTATTACCTGGAGTTCTCTTCGAGAACACAACTTTTTTTAACTGTAATGCGCCGTTGGACAGGGTCTCTCATTGGCCTAATGGTCTATGAGCGCTTGCCTTACAACTGAAAGGTCAACTGGGTTCGAATCCCAGTGGGGTGGGTGTGTACTATTGAAGAGTTCCAAACTAGGTAGACCAAAATAGGTGTCCAGTACTCCCAGGTGGGGTTTTTCAGTGGTTCTCTAACCGATGTCAGCTCATGATGACATCTTATAATCAGACAAATCTCTACAAAGCAACATCTGAATAGCAGTCTGACGCATACTAGTGATTGGTTCTATAATCAGGTACATAGTTACCCTGGGTTCTAATAGGAAGTTGTAACCACTAGTGGGGCAAAACATAGCCAGTTGGGTGTGAGGACAAATACTCTCCGCCCGACACGACATAAGCAGGTTGTGGTGGTCGCGCTATATCGTGCTTGAGTTGGTAGAAGTTGGAATTTTAATGGTTCTCTTCCGACTGATGTCAGCTCAGGACAGAATCCTGTAGTCAGGGATTACATCGATCAGTCACCCGAGGATAATAATTTAGATATGGTAGAGAAATTTCATCAATTAACCAAGCCAACCTACCGAAGCAAAAGCCACCAAGGAAAGCACAAAGAAAATCGCCTTACCATTTATAAAGGATATCTCAGAAATCACTACAAGACTCTTCAAACCTTGATGAGGAATTGACGTCGTACACAAACCAACAAAGTCACTTCACTCAATTCTATGTCTACCAAAAGACTCAGCAGCGAAAGAAGATAAAACCAACATCTGCATCTACAAAATAAATTGTAACAACTGCGAAAACCACTAACTAAGTTGGCCAAAGTGGACGTCCCCTACTCTTCGTCTTCGTATCCACGAACATAAGCTAGCCGTCAAAAGACATGATATCCACTCCCTGATATCACTACACACAGACAACCATGGACATCAATTCGACTGGGATAACGTTCAAATATTAGACAGACAGAGGAAACAACAAGAATGCTAGAGAATTTTTAGAAGCTTGGCTGACATTCCAGTCAATCATCAATCAATAGACACATCTAGATAGACAAAATTTATCAACCGACAAGAAAGAAACTTAACACACAAAGGGTCAAAGTTCAAGTCAAAGAAACAATCAATTCCAATGCAAGTAGCCTAGAAGGTGTGAAAACACACACATAAACAACCAATCACGTCCAAGATCACCGACCAGGAGAGATGATTAATAATTGAAGTATACGCTGAAGATGTCACCCAATAGGGTGATGAAAGCATCACAAATTAACCATCCAGCTCAGAGAACACAACCACATCAAAAAGAGGGTAATAATTGCCGTGATGTGTTCTCCTGCGTACTTAATGATCAAACAACTTAGTGGTAACGTCTTTGTTCATTATGACAAACAGAGTAGGCGATACAGCTTCGAATCTCAGTAAACACAAAACACAAACTTGGTACAATATAGGCATTAAGCGATGTATCACACAAAAATAATACAACGGCAATATATAAAGAGAATAGAGAGAGAATGAATGAAACCATAGTTATCAGGAGAGTTTAATATTCATCTCCTCTTTGCCACTGATTGCGATTCTTGGCCATATCTGATGTGATGACGTTTCGAGTCACTGATTCAAGTTATCTCTCGGACCCCGACTATGGAGTTGTGGTGCACACTAACTGACGCTAACCTAAGACAAATATCCTTGTTCCCAAGACCTCACTTCACGGAATGACTGCCTTCTCTGCTTTTTCCATCCAGTCCCACGACTGGTGAACGACCATTGGTACGGGAGTCGAGTCTCTGGGATGGTACATCTCTCCAAGCTACTAACATTGGTACTTCATTCTATGACTGACTGATGAGCCCTATCGTGTCCATAAACACACACTGCTTGAACCTTAGAATTACTCACATGATGATGCCATCAGATGCAAGCAATTCTACGGAGACAATGATGATGATGATTGAATACACAGAGTCACCTGACACATCCTCTGAGTTTTTGACCATCACTCGCTTCAGGGGGTTTGTTCCTACTGTCCCCAACTAACAATTTAAGTAGTGTTCATTGTTGTTCATCAGTGTATTTTTATTCATTAGCTATGTATGTATACAACTCCTACAGTTTAATAAACAAAATAAGTTATGCTTTCAGTGCTTTTCATATTAATAGGTTTTTTTTCTCTCTCTCTCTCTCTCCCTATTTAGATCAAATGAAGAAGAAATGAAGGATAAAGACTTTTATAATTCTAAATATCAGATGCATCGTAAAAGTCGCATTCTCACCTCTTTGAATAATCCTGAAGTTACATGGTGGCCTAGTGAAAAAGCTGGCGATGCTGGTGATCAAAGGTTAGACTTTTATCAATTAATTTTGTATGGAGGATTTAATCATGAGCTGACATCAGTTAGAGAACCACTGGAAAACCTGCAGGGAGTACTGGACAGCTGTTTCGTCCTAGTTTGGGACTCCTCAGCAGTACGCACGCACCGGGGTTTGAACCCAGGACGTTCCGGTTACAAGGCGAGCTCGTAGACCATTGAGCCACTGAGCTCTCCAGTACTCCCAGGTTTTCCAGTGGTTCTCTAACTGATGTCAGCTCATGTCAAGTGATTAATAAGGAAAGCGAAGCGTGTGGTGTGAAGACAGGAGGAAGATAGGTCTGTCTACTATCATCGATAATATTCCTGATTATGGCGGACTGGATCTTTCAACAGACCGTGGTGAGCGAGAAGAATAGACCGATAACAAAATTCTAGAAGAGATCTGAACTTCTCTCAGAGAATTCTGGTCTAATATCCTACAAACTCGAAGATCTATGGATGAAAACCAACAATTTGGCAAAAGAGATAATAGAGACGACCTGGTTTACAAGCATCAATAAGCAACAGCGGTAGATGTTTGAAGGAAATCACCTCCTTATATTCATTGAACTGGGAAGGATTGTTTGAACTATGGGCGGGGCACACGGCTGAAGATGTCAGAGTCACAAGGGCCCTGACAGCAAAACGGGAATTCATTATTCGAATAACATTGACATTTTTTAACACAAATATCAATTCTTCCACATACTTCAGAGACTTGACACGTTACAAAATCGTTTCCAACTGGCTAAGACTTTCGTTTCAACACTGAAGATCAAATGATCGATTAGGAAGGGAATAAGCGCAACAAGGAACTTTAGGAATGAACTTATAATTCCACTTGGAACCGAACAACACGGTCGACTAAGTCACTTTATTTACCTTGGAAAAAAAATACCAATCAGAAGTATGCGTCTGTGGTTGAAATTATTTAGTATCCAGGAGTATTGAATGATGAAAAACAATACTATTTATCTATTTCAGTTTCAAATTATCACTTGCCTGTTAGTGAAGTTTTAATTATTGCATTAATAATTTAGCAAATAATAGGACCCACCCCGCTGATGATGATGATGATAGCCTTGTTGTAGGATGCACACATGAGTTAAGAATTGAACCTGCAACCTGAATTCTTTATGTATGCGTCGGTGGTATAGCGGTTAGGACACTCGATCCAACCATGCCTCACATGGTCCGGGGTTCGATTCCCGGCCACCGACGCACTCTATTACATCGGTAAGCCGGAAATAATCCTGGTGAAGAGGAAAGGTTAGGCATGAGGCTAGCAACCCTATCGTGTAAAATAATCACTGCTACAGAAACTTCAAGTTACTAGCTTGAAGGTGCCCTATGTTCCACTGGGGAACGTGAAGGAAAAAAAGTAAGTCATGTAAAGTAGGCAATTCGGCTAACAACGAGTTTAACTCGTATAATAGAAAAATAGTAGTTTGTCTATAATTCCTACCTGATCCAAAGATGCTGTACACAGCAATCCACAAAGAAGTGATTTCATGTCCACGTTTCATCTCAGTAACTTTACCAACCTAAAAATTGTTTTGTTGAATATATATATATATATATATATATATATATATATCGATTCTCATCTTTCTGGTCAGATTTTATCTCTGTCTAAATATTCACTTTCAAATGTGCACTAGGAGAATGAATGGCTGAGGCTTTTGCTTGCATACTATTACTATGATTTTGCAAGGATCGGTTTTCTGGGGATTTTTTTGTTGTTGATTGGATGGAGGATTTCATCATGAGCTGACATCAGTTAGAGAACCCCATTGGAGAACCTGAGAGTACTCGGTCCCAGTGGCTCAATGGTCTACGAGTGTGTTAGCTCGCCTTGTAATCAGGAGGTCCTGGGTTCGAACTCCAGTGGGTGCGTGCCGATGAAGATTCCCAAACTAGACCTATCAAACAGCTGTCCAGTACTCCCAGGTGGGATTTTCCAATGGTTCTCTAATTGATGTCAGCTCATGATGAAATCCTCACTTCAATATTACTATGATTTTCAATTCTGTCATGAAACTAAACCACAGACATATTGCTTGTGTATATATATATATATTTTTACATTGTTCTGTTTTCCCAACATTCCAAGTTGTAATTCTTCTTTCAGGACACTGCTTTATTGGTGTTAACACTAGTTCTAATGTTCATATCCATTGTTAGCTAGCAATGCAATGCCTCATCTCAAACTCATGCTTTCCATCTATCAAGATTCGCGTGCTTCTTCTCCTCAGTAAAGTATTTATATACGATTTTTTTGTGCGTTAGTGGGACAGCGATTAGAACTCTAACCGATCATGGACATAATCTGACCCCGGTTCGACCCCGTGCCAATTCAAACTAGATATTCAATTGTCGGTTTGCAAAAATTTGGGCTACCGATATCACATGCTGAAAATTCCATACTAGTAGTATTTCCAAAGTGTTGGTTTACAGGGATATATAACTGATTTCAGTGCTTCAGTTAGTTCAGTGGTAGAAAGCTCGACAACCACGCCGCCTCATGTGGTCCACGGCTGACACGCACTCCTAAACCTCGTTAAGCCAACCGGTAATAAGCCCCAGTAAAGAAGGTTGGTTGGACATTTGAGGCTAAGTAAACTCAACCCGTAAAAAAATAAACGTCACTACTACCAAAACTTCAAGACTCAAGCTTGAATCGCCGTGTAAATAATTTATTCCAAGTGTGTGATCACGAACTGACATTATAGTTAGAGAACCAGTGGAAAACAGGGAAGTACAGGACAGTGTTAGTCCATCCTAGTTTGAGTCTATTCCACAGAATGCATCCATGGCACCCCCACCTCCCGTATATGGGGTGATCGAAGCCCAGTACCTTCAGGTTAAAGAGGCGGGTCCACTGGCGGCGCATAAATAAAAATCCTAATTTTTTGCCAATTCATCAATATACAGCAGCACCACACTGTGGTGATTGACTATTTCTATCTCTGTATTGTTTAAATACTTACTGTTGATTGTTAATATATTTCTTATATGAATTGCATTATAATTCCGCTAAATACAAATTCCTGAATTCCTCCCTCTCTGTGTTTTGGTTGGATCCGTGTACTTCCGTCATCTCGAAATACTAATACTACGATTACAAAATAATTACAACAAATTGGCGTCGCGATGGAACTAAATAACCTTGGAAAAAAATTTCCTATAAATGGTTCTCCACGGGAAATCACTGATTATCTTGAATGCTTTGATGCATGGTGCATTTCAAAGAATGTTCGGGATGACAAAATACCAGCACATTTCATCACTGCTATTGGGCTAGATGCATATAGCCTAGTGAAGACTCTGGCGTTTTCAGATAAACCTATTTCTCTGTCATATGTCAAGATTGCTGTAGAGAGAGAAAGAGAGACATTCCATTGTGTACATGTGTCACACACACTACTACAATCACCTTTTGTGCATATATATCTCAAAAATACACTTTGCAAGGTGTTTTGTTTTATGATTTACACAAATATCTGTTTTCTTTCACGATTTCATCATGAGCTGACATTAGTTAGAGAACCATTGGAAAACTTGCCACAGGGAGTACTGGACAGCTGTTTCGTCCTAGTTCGGGACTCTTCATCAGTACGCACCCATCGGGATTCGAACCCAGGACGTTCCGGTTACAAGGCGTGCTCGTATACCATTAGGCCACTGGGACTCGATCCAATTGTCCTTGAATTGTAACTTCTGCCAATTCACGATATAGAGCGACCGCTAGTGGCAGAAGTTAGAATTCAAGGACCATTGGATCGGGTCCCAGTGAGTGGCTTAATGGTATACGAGCTCGCCTTGTAACCAGAAGGTCCTGGGTTCGAATCCTGGCAGTGGGTGCGTACTGACGATGATTCCCAAACTACGCTGATGAAACAGCTGGCTGTCCAGTACTCCCTGGTTTTCAATGGTTCTCTAACTAATGTCAGATCATGATGAAATCGTGAAACCAATCAAATCCCTACAAACCAACGCTTAAATATCTGTTTTGTGTTCATTCCATAGTGAGCCGCTGAAGAAAAAAAATAAACGTCGTAGAAAAAAACAGAAGAAAATCAACTCTGAAATTCAAGCGATTGAGGCACCGCTGAGCGTCGACGATGACGATAACAACATCAAGAAGAATAACAACTGTAACAATCCAGTTGAATCAACTCCAACTAAAGATACTGATGGTGACGTAAAGAAACCGAAAGGAAAAGTGAATAAAAAGCTCAGGAATAAATCGCAAAAGCAAGATTCAAAAGCACTATTCAAATCACGTCTCCTAGCGGCGGGTATCACTATGAAGGAATACTACCGGTCTATGCAGCATAAAGAAGAAAAACAGAAATCTGAAGGTGTTGAGAAATAAAATTAAAAAAAAAGATACTTTTTTATTCGAACTTGTTGTTTTGATTTACCAGCTGGTTCCTACAGCATAGATATTTGGGCATTATTCTAACAGTAAGCCATACACCTGATTCCTTTGATGATTAAGTTGAACAAACGGAATCTATGAATGTTTGGAATGTGAGCGATTCGACCCCCGCCAAATGCAAGATGATGTTACAGGACTGACTGGACTACATCGACGCCTAGTTTAAAAATAGAAAGTGAAGTGGTTGGTGGAGCACGTTGACCGCTTCACTTATTTGGGAAGTACCATCAGCCAGTGCCAACGGGTTGACCTCTGACGAAATCTCAGCTGAGTACGGATACAGGGGGCTCGTTTCGCATTTGACATTTTACGCCGACTCTGGCGTAGACGAGATGTTCGACTATCGACCAAAGGGCGGGTGTACTGCTCATCACTCCGCTCCGTCTTCCTTCATAGCCAGCTGTGAGACTTGGCCACTGAGAGTGGAAGACATGAAAAGGGTGACTAGCTGTCTTTGATCATAGGTGCGTGCGCTCTATTTCCCGTGTAAAGTGGCATAATAAGGTGAGCAATATTGAGGTTAGGCATCGGTCGAGTTTTATGTAAACAGGGGAAATTAATCGACGAAGTTGTGAAGTTACAAAGACTGAGATGGTTAAGACATGTGTTACGCATGGCAGCCTAGTCACCGCCTTCCTCGACAATGGAAAATGTTAGCTGACATAGGGTCAGGCTGGAAGAAAGCTAGCGGAGGTCAAACCAAAACATGGCCTCACTGTCAATGAAATCTACAACAGTTGCTCTAAGCCACGTAGGAAGGTGTAGACTGGTTTCCTGGTTGGGGTCCTTGGGACGGTAAAAACAAATGGTTGGAAACAATTGGTGACATGGCTCAAAATCGTTCTCAGTGACTGGCTGGTGCAGATGCATCCACTCCTTGTGACTTATGATTTCCAATGAAACTGTTTTGTTCTTCGTTACTACTGTTCCTTTGTCTCACACCTCTGTTCACTGTCTCTATTATGCTTTTCTTGTACTTTCTTCTCTTGCTTCGCGTGCTACACGGAGTGTGGCGACTTGAACTGGCGCATATTTTGTGCAAAGTTCTATGTCGAAAACAGACGGACAGTAGTTGAACAAAGCTAGAAAAGGAATACGTATTTTCAATAGAATGGTCACTGAACTTTTCGATAACCCCTTCATCATCAGGCTCTACATCTATATATACATTATTGTGAATGAATGAGTGTTATGAACAACAACATTAATATTAGTGTTTAAATAACATCGAGTCAATAATAATATTGATAGATTACAGCTCAATAGCATTGACATAACAATAAACTGAATGCCAGAAAAATTAGGAAAGATAATATTACAAATTCATGAATTTATAGTCTCTACTGAAGGCCAGCCAGGGCTGGCTAACTGGCTGAACTTGTTTCTTTTGAACACAGAGCACTGGTTGTGTGAGGCGGCGAATTCCAATAGCCTCTGTTGTTTGGAGCATGCGGTGCTTCAATGGTGATTTCGGCAGTTTATTAGACACCCGGTAGATGATGGTTGAGAAGGATTCTTCCACGCTGACTAGTTGGCTGGCTTTGTGGACGGCTGGTTTGCACCAGATGGTCGAATATCGAACTGTTAGTGGTTCTCACTACTCTACACCTTTACTTAGTCATAGTGGAAGATGTTCTCGAGCTTTTTTTATTTTCATTTCATAGCTTTTTTTATTCCTGTAAAGGTATTCATTCCTCTTGTTGTTCAAATTGTAGGTTTTGTACCCATTTTTCTGTACACAAATGTATATTGAGTCCGTTTTGTGCGGAATATGTTCATAAAAGTTGGATAGTAAAAACTAGGCTCTTCAACAAGATTTCAGTGTTTTCAGACGACTTCGCTCTTAAACATAACAACGCTGTAGAGACAAGAATTAAAGGAGTAAGTAGGAGTAGAAGAATAGCGTTATTCCAAACAGTATTTGTGTTATAGGTATGAAATTTTCAGCGTGCATCTAATTACCTCATAAATTTTATAAGATTTTTAAAATCAAAAGAAAAATAAATAATTAAATAAAAACCAACGCCAAAAAAATAAAAGACAAATAAAAATTTAAAAAAAACAGCGTAGAGTTTACATTTCAAACAATGGACCACAGGATATGAAATATAAAGTTGATGTGTGATAGAAGATGAGAACAACAGTGTAATGGTAACGAGGAAAGGAAAGCCAAAACTAATGGGACCACTATTTGATAGAGTGCTGCTGTAAGTTGATCGTGTCATACCTAACGGATTTCTCATCACGCACATAACAGCTGTGCCAGATATGGTATTGTGGAGTTTTTGTACTTGGTAGTCCTAGCATATAGCCAGCCAGCCTCGTATAGCTGCTTCTAGTTCTACCAGATGAAATGCAATGCGATAGCTGCGTATAGAGAGGATTCTCGGGGTCTGACAATATTGTATTCGCTAGTCTCTTACATGACATTATATGTCTATCCACAATAGTGTTAACCAGTTGGTCTAACGATATCCCACTTGCCCTCCCTACTAACGGCTTTGAGTGCCTGCCTTTCTCAGAAAAACAAAATCTTCATTAAATAGTCCAGGAAAGACTAATGGGGAGCAGTAAACAGGGATGGGTAGAATACAAGAATTGACAAACTGAGAAAGTAAAAACTGCTTTATGCCAGACTGCCTAAATTTCCTAATGTAAAACGTTAGGTGAAACATCTTTCTAGTGACTAGCAACATGTGGGAAGACCAGGAAAGATCGGTGGAAAAACTCAGGCCAAGGTACTTGACATTAGATGTATTTTCAACCTGTGTGCCGTCGATGATAGTGGGGCCATGTTAGCTAACTAGTTGCTGTAGGTCACGTTTACGTCTGAAAGTGAAATTGACTACCTGACATCTAGACGGATTAAGCTTAAGTCCGTTTGAAGAGGACCACTGACTAATTTCCGACAGAAAGTTTTTTAATTTGGAACAATCTGACTGAGAGCTGGTTGACAAGCTTAGAAACAGAGAGGTCATCGGCAAGCATACTTAACAAAAGTGTGGCTACATCAGAATGAGGCAAGTCATGTAAGAAAAACGAAAACAGAAGAGGAGAAAGAACAGTCAGTACCTTGAGGAACACCAGCTAAAGTAAGTGAGGTAGTGGAGGACTTTCCATTGTAGACGGTGTACAGCTTCCTATCAGAAAAATAGGAATGCAACCACTTATTTGTCCAGCTCTCAGCTTGTGTTTCAGCAAGCTTACTTACTTAGCAAGAGAGACCTAGGAACAGAGTCAAATGCAGATGTGTAATCAAGGAAGGAAGGCACAGCGAACGTATTTAGCTCCTTTATCTAAACTAGAGACTATACTATGATGTAGGACAACAGCCGCATCTAAGCTACACCGACTACGTGCGTCGGTGGCACAGTGGTTAGGACTCTCGCTGACCATGCACACGGTTTGAGGTTCGAACCCCCGCCGACGCACACCTGATATCTATGGTCGGCCTATAAAATTTGGGCTACCGATATCCATGCTGAAAATTCCATACGTGTACCAAAAATACAGTGTGGAATCAAGCTGTAAAATCAAAAAAAATCACAAAAATAAAGTTTTTAGGCAAACTGGTTGGGGTCATTGAAGGACTTTAAAGAGGGTTCAAGATTAAGTAAAATAAGTCTTTCTTTACTTTTCAAAAATGTGAGGTAATACCAATGGGTCTTAACTTGACATTAGGTCCACTTGTAGATTTAGGCACTGGATCGATCTTCATATTTTTCCATGATTCAGGTATAATACTTTTGGAAAACGATTCGTTGAAAATGTCAGTTAGTGGGGAACACAAGATGTCGGCACACTTCTTAAGGATAACAGCAGGACCACCATCAGGACCAAGGAACTGAGTAGGCTTGAGAGATTGAAGTCACTTGAGGACATCATTCGTGTTAAAGCATGAGAAGCAGTCATTGTTTACACTATTTGAGTTAGGAATCATAACATTTGCTGGGATACATATAAAGGATTCATTAAGCATGTTAACATCTACAGAAATATCATTCGTTATTTGCTTACTTCCATCGAAGTTCTGTTTGGTGGATTTAGGTTGTTATATGTATATATGAATAATTCCCATCCGAGCATTAATAAACAATAAAACAAAACAATTTGTTCAGTGAAGAGTCTGTTTTTTTCGGTGAATGCATTCCTTTTAGCTGAACAATCACATCTTATATAAAATTTTCTCTCGTGAATAGTAACAAAGTAATGCATCATCATAAGAATGGTTGCTAATATTAATCCAATACATATGAGGAGTTGAATATTATATTATTATTATTAATGCTCCCTTGGGTTCCTAGTGGAACATAGGGCTTCAACTGCACGTCTCCATTTGCCGCTTCTGTCTTCTGCTGTACTTTTCACCTGCGTCACCCATGTTAGTCTATATTCTTTCAACTCCTCTTCACACGATCTCCCCCATGTCACCCTTGCACTGACGTCCCACACACCGCTTCCCTTTCGGCCTGGTTCCACTCGAGCGATGGCGTGACGCGCGATATCACCCAGCGGTCTCCTCAGTGAGTGTCTGATCCATCTCCACTTTCTCCTGCCTATTTGTTGGGCGATTGGTTCTTGCTTTGTTTGCTCCCATAATTCCTTGTTGGTGATTCTTTCCGGCCATCTGATCTTCAGTATAGAGCGAAGACAGTCAGTTGTTGATAAAGGTCTGCAGCCTTTTGGAAATATTCTTTGTGACCCGCCCACCAAGTTTCTGATCCGTATAGAAGAACTGACTGACTTGACGTTTGTATTGAAAATCCGACGGAATTTTGTTGTTGATGCTGAGTGACGAAGATTTCCAGATTCATTTCAGGCTGATGAATGTGTTTCTCGCCTTCCCGATTCTCGCTCGATTTGACATCCTCGTCCGTTCCGATTGCCTGTAGTTGAGACAATGCTTCCTAGATAGGTGAATGAAGTAACCTCTT